TCGTTCAGGGTACGGTTGCCGCCTAAACCTGGCGAAACTTCTTCACCCAGTCGCATCCACCAAAAAAGAACAGCTCTTCTCCCAGTCGCATCCACCCCTCGATTCACCCAGTTGCATCCTCCCGACAAAAGAAACTAAAACCTCTGCCTCGTCTTGCGCCATGCGCTGCCAGGTCGCCATGTTCTTTTTGCACTGCAGGTAGATGCGCGCATTGATGACCCTGGCGCCAAAGTGGACTCGACTCACTCGCGTCCGTGCCACAGGAACATCGAAGGCGAAACGCGCCGTCGATTTGAACAAAGATGCAAACAACAAATCCATTTGGTTAAGACCCCTGGAAAAAAATATGTCCCGTAGTGATAGGGTAAGCAAATGGAAGGAAAGGGCACTCACCTGATTTTTTCCGCGCATCAGGCGATGACAAAATCTAAGGGCAGCACGTTCCTCGATGGAAAAAAAACATTGATGGAGGACATGAGACACGTGGGAAATTGGGAAAGTGTCAAACTTACGGTACGGACCGCATCCAAATGCTGAACGGGGGGGGGTTAAAATGATGATTCTTTCTGGACCCCCGTGCCGCGTTGTGCTACGTTTAAAGAAGGATGCCAAAACGCTCCCTGATTTTCAACCCCCTCTAATGGTGTCATGCTTGTTCTGATTGGAATTGCCTCCGATACGACAAGAGTGAACTCTTTGGCCTACTCTGGATACTCCCCACTCCCGAAAATCGTAACCCCTTTCTGCATTCGGAATTTGAAAAAAACAAATGTCGCTGTTCTTTGTTTACCTGCAGGTCAAATGCGTGAACGAGTGACACGGATTTCCGCTCACGGCGATGGATATTGGACCAGTGCCCGTTCGTGCTTGGGGGGGGTATGTCTTCGGGGGTTTGTTCGGTCACTTGGTCTGTGCAACTCTCCAATTCGGCTTCCCTCTAATTGGTGGCTTGAATTGGTGGTTTGGGGATTTGGATCTGTAGAGGGCAAATGGCAACCCTCTTCCATCTCCCTACCAAATCACCAATCCAAACCATCACCTAGGGGGAAGCTAACCTTTTGAACCCTCCCATACAATTAAGACCCATTACTAGTTGCCCAAGCCATGCAAATGCTATAGTCCAATGAGCCAGCAAGCCTTCCGACCGTTGCCCACGGCCCATGTTGAACAATCCTGCTCTCCGCTTTTCCACCTCCGTTGGGAGATCAACTGGCACGACGACGGTTCACGCAAACTGTGTGAGCCATGAGTCATGAGTATGTTTCTCAAACGGCTTGGCCTAAGAAGGACCTCACCCCCAATACCATTTTGTCCAACCCAGTGCTTCCAGGCAAGCCACTAGAGTAGGCAGCCCTTCGGGTTTCGTACCAGGTTACACATCATGGTTTTCCTTGCTCACCTATACCGGCGAAACGCCCGGAAAGTGAAATTTTGACTCGTCAACACATGTATCCCCCCCCCCCCCCCCGCACATGCCAATCCCGCGAATTCGCGGCCTTGCAGGTCTGGAGCCAAGACTGCTGGAGGACGAACCCTTGGTGACCATCTTCGGCGTTCGCGGACGGCTGGCCGAAGACCTCAGAGAGGATATTTTTCGAGCCAGCCCGGAGCGTAGCTGGGAATCTGTGGATGCGGTTCCGAATTTTCATTCCAGATCCTTTCTAGGTCCTCCAGTAGAAAGGTTAGAATAAGGGTACCCTTTTTTTCTGTAGTCTATTTTAGCAGGGGAACCCTCCGCCAAAAAAGGGTAAAAGGGCACTACTGGGGGACCCAAGCGAGCTAGCATGTGAAAGCACCATTGACATCACTTTCCACTGAAGAACAATATGGACATGCAGTATGTAAACGCTGCACTCCTTCAAGGAGTTCAGAGACGTATGGCCGGATGGACAATCTCTGGCTGTGGATGCAAGAATGACATACTTCCCAGCCCGAGAGCTCAGGCTGAGGTTTTGCGGGACTAACCAAAAGAGCAAGAAAGAAAACACGTTCAACGCAGACTTACCCCTTAAAACTCCAAGCCCTGGGGAAGTTAATCTTTTACAGACATATAGCCCATGTTACCCAAAAAGTTGAAAAGTTGTGTTTTTAAGAGGTAAGCAGAGTATATGCCAGGCAAGGGACTTGGCTACAAGCTGCATATCAAGACATCCAAGAAGATTCAACCCATGTGAAACGCAGGTTCAAGCAAGGGCATCCATCGAAAGGTGAGTGGTCCAAACTCCTACCATGGTGCATGGTGACAGCTGCCTGAGAACACCTTCGATTGGCTGTCTCGCATCCAGGGTCTTTGCGTTTCGAACGGCCCCAGCATGGTGTAATTGTTCACAGGGCAATCCAACTTCGAAAGAACAAACATGCCGGCAGGGGTCCACGCAGTCACATGTCAATGTGCGGATTGCATAGTGATGTCCGCACAATAAGCTGTCTGCTGTGATTTATGACGATGCGAGACCTTCCATGGATTACTTTGTAACCCTAAGGTCCACTACCCTGTTTGGGGTGGATTTAAAGGGCAACCCGTAGAACAAACTCTTTGCGGGTCCAACTATCTTGACATATATATAGATATAATGTAAATGTATATAATATAATATTACCCGCACCACGCGCACTTCACGCTTTGTCCTGTTCCTTTTTTCGCGTGTAGGGCCCCGGCCCCAAAGACATTCGACGCTTACTATCCATGGGCACCTTCAGCACGTCCTCCGGTGACACCTGCCATACGAACCCGGCGGAGGGTTGGTTTGTTGCGATACTGGATGAAGCAAGCAAACAGCGGAAGCATACGTAAGATGTTTGGCACGTCCGCGCAAGTCAAAAATAGTCAGCTTGCCGTGGACTGGCATTGGCTCAGCCTCTGGTTTGCTAGCAGAAGACAAAGCTTGCGAAGGCCGTCAAATTTCTGCCAGCTCTGTCTCTCTTTCAAATCAGTGGCATCGCGCATCTGATTGATGGCCAATCTAGAGCTCTGGACAAGGCTTTTGTCGAGGCGGCCGGTTCGATCTGCACACTTCCCTGCGGCATAGTTGGTCATTCCATACAAATCTAGATAACAAGGTAGATAAATCCATGAACCATATTCAAAGCTGATAAGTAGATGGTTTACTGGCTCACTGGGCCATCTCAAGAGCTAGGTCTCCTGAACAAGCCACGTACTGGCGTGTGTGTTTGTGATTTCCACACTGAACAGAAACCATTGGGGAGTAGAATGAAGACCCGTCAAATTCCAGAAACCAGTTTGACACTCTTGCAGGGTCCGAACACCAATCATTGCATTCAAATTGCATCAGGGCCAAAAATGCATCCAGCGATGAGAACATGCTTAGATGCCCAAAGAGCACAGGAAAAACAAAGGTTAACCTTTTGGGACCATGACGAACAATGGACCAAAATCGAAAATAACAGAAAAAGGGCTTTCGACAACTGAGAATATGTGCATGGTGTTGCGGAATCCGGACCCCGCAAATTCGTGGACCGTGGCAAACTCTGCTCTTCCTGCCTTGGCCTCCGCTGTGGAATGCGTCGGCCTTGCGGTGTGGCATGTCGCACCGTGCTGAATCGATGAGCTGTGCACGCAGCGGTGTGTTGGTAGAATGATGATGATGATGATGATGATGATGATGATGATGATGATGATGATGATGATGACGATGATGATGATGATGATGATGATGATGATGATGATGATGATTGGTCCGGTCAAGCCCAGCGTATATCCCAAAACTACATTGCATAAAGCCTTAGAGTCCCCTTGCCATAGAACATTGCGAACGGAGGCCTATAGAAAAGGAGAGCAACGCAACTTGTTTCCACAGCTTGTAGCGAAGAACCAACCCGATTGGACAAGGGCACCCTTTGATCAAAACCTCCATGTTCTCCGTTACATTTGCAAACGCATGGATCGGTGAAGCGTAGACTGCTCACAACCGTTGAGTACGCAGCGAAACAAGACGGAGGATCTGAACGGCTCAATGGTTGCTGACCCAAGCTGGTGTTGCTTATCTCGATCTCTTCATTAGATCCTTGGTTGCTGTTGACCCCCCTGCAAAAAGTTGTTCACTTTTTGGGGGTTTAGTGTAAAACGTCTTGATTTCCCAAAAAGTTAAAGTCTAAAGATCCAACCCGATAGCAGTCAACGATCGCACCATCTTGGCTCAAAAAACTAATTGTTGCAATCTGCTCCAAGAAGACATCTCCCAATGCGACATTTGGATCGATTCTGTCATGGATCATGGCAGAACTTCAAACCACTGGAGATAGGTCATCGCTTGACTCCAATGGCAGAAACGCGAAACGTCTGAATCAGATTCTACAAGAGTGAATCTCTGGCTCTGAAGTTGCATCAGCTTTGAGGGTTTGGGAACATCACTCTGGAACTGACTTCAGTGAATATGCCTTCCTTCGACATGATGTCTGCAGGGCCATAACTCAAAAAGGAGAAACTGAAAGGTCACCCAAAGGCGAGTGAGCCATTCAAAGCTGCTCCCCCTATTTCTGTTTTGAGACCCCATTCAAATCCTCGAAGCAACCCCAAAGGGGGTCTGGCGCTGGCCTTCAACATCATGGGCCTCACCTGGAGTCTGCTTCTGACCCTAGGGGATCATCCAAGTATCCATTGGAAGCCCATCACAACTGCATTGGCTTCCATTGGGCTTCAACAGCACAACACCAGCTAAGCTGACGCCCACTGACTCGCAAAAGTATAGAACTAGTTTATCTTTACTTATGCAAATCCTCATAAAATTCTCTAGCACAGAACACTACCTTTCCTGGAAAGAGAGCAACTCGCACTGAAATGTTTGTTGGCAGAAGGTTTAGGATTGGTTTGTCTCCAAAAAAGGGGTAGGGGGCTTTCCAACTTGTTTCCGTTGGAACAGAGGAGCCAGCTTTGTGGTTGGGGGCAAAAACCCGCGGCCGGCAGAGGCGCGAGTCGCTGGGTGCCCCGGCTGGGAGGGCCTTCGATTCCGCGTGGAGAGCGGGTTCCGCGGGGTGGACTGGGGCGAGGCAGGCACCTGGTGGATGGCCTCGAGGCGCGTTGGACGGCGAATGTTGACCCCAGTTTGCTACTAGGTCCTGCAGTAGAGAGGTTAGAATAAGTTGGTGCCAACTTTTTTCTGTAGTCTATTTTCGGACTTTCCCCCAAAAAACGGTCCAAGGTCTGATTCCCCACTAAAACCAGGGACACCCCCATATTTTAATAAACTTGGGTTTTATGAATCCGGGATCAACATATTCAAAAAAACAAACGCTCACAGGGATGTAGTGTTACAGCTGCAACGCTTCCAAACCACTGTTTTCTTCATAGGGGTCGCGGTGTCCCTGATTTTGGGGGAATCAGACCACTTTTGGAGGCGAAGACCCCCTTAATAAACAGGGGTTTATTCGTCCGTGTCAACATTAAATGGAACGAGCCCTTGGAGGGAAAGGAAACCAGCCAGCCCAAATCTAGGCAGCAAGCCCATGTGGGGATGGGTCAAAATTAAACCAGGAGTTGGACCGCAGATTTAGTCCTTGGTTCCATTTATCAGGATTCCATTTCGGGTACATATTTTTGGACCCACAGCAATGTAGGCAAACCACACATTTGCAGCCTTTGTTGTTTTTAAAGGGTGGTAAGCCCTGGGGTATCCATGTAAATTCATCCACTGGGGGCCATGGGGGGCGGGGCGGGGATTTGTGCCTTTGAGAAACCGCAGCTTGGAATGGTAAAGTTCTGGACGCCGAAGCTTCCGGGAGCCCTCCTCTTCCTCTAAATGACGTGGCTTGAGGGTAGTGGAAACAATCTTGGATTCAGAGCAACGTGCAAAACAGGGCATCTGTATGTCTTTTGTTCCTACATCGAAATTGACCACAATTGTGTGCGGTGCATTCCCAACACTATGGTTCTCTGCTCGTTTCTAGTTGGCTGTGGGTCAAAAAAAGGTACCCTAAATTGAGCCCTGGTAAATGGAACCAAGGACTAAAACCTGCGGTCCCCTGGTGGTTTAAGTTTGACCCATATCCAATTGGAAAACTAGCGCCCAACCGGGAGGAACGCGTGCTGCTCCTCGCAAGAAATCAAACTGAGTGCCGTGCTCCTCCAGTCAGAGCTGACACATCGACAAGACATAATTACTCCCTACAAATCAACATGGAACCCAAGAGGAGTTTCCCCTACACGCAAGCGTGTCTTTCTTTGAAGCACCCCGTTTGGGTTGGTTTTTTGATGCGTTGCGCCACTTTGAGGAGTCTAAACAAGACACACCCATCTGGTTTCCCTTTGAATTGTTTGGTACCCTCAACACATACGCAAAAAACGAAACCTCAAGGTCACCCAAAACGTAGGGGGAATTGTACATAGAGCCTCAAAAGGGTCTTTGACCTTCTACCATGCAAAACACATGCACCTTCTAAAACCATGCAAAAACACATGTTGGTTCTTTTCAGCTTCTTTTCAGGGGCCAACCCTAAATTCCCCATGATCACCTTGCGGCTCCGCGCCTGCGGCGCCTGCGGCGATGGGCATAACTCCATCCTGGCAGCAGCCGGTTCCCGAGTGGATTGGCAAAACAGCTCCCACACGTCTGGTTGCTGAATGACCACTAAATGCTCCTCTCAAACAGTGTAAATTGGCCTGGGGTTCAGTTGCCACCATTAAAACAATGGGGGTTCACGTAACCATATGTACCCAAGGATTGTCGTCATGCGAAATGGGTCCTGGCCATTATTTTAATTGGGGCGAGGACCCTAGGATTTCAAGTTTTCAAGTCCGAGTGAGGTGTCCTTTCGGCTCGTTTCTTATTACCCACCGTCCGCGCAAAGCACCCAGGGACTCCTTGGATTGGAGTTCAAGAACCCGAAAGAACCCAAACCAGTGTTGACGCAGTGCTTTGCACTTCGCAAATCGTCAGCAAGCTTTGCTAATAAAAATCAAGTCTGACTGAAGTGACCCCCAAGCAAAGGACTCACAAGAGGACCTCGTTGTACCCCCTTTCTCCGTCGCCATAAGATTGGCAAACATCAGCTGAAGGGAGGTTTTGCAGGGGCGTCGGTTTACAGAAGCTTGTAGCTGTCCTTGTTGCAGGGGGACGAAGCCCTCTATACTCCACAGCCCAACTCAGGTCTAAGAGCACACAAGTGCTTTGCTCAACGACCAGCGATCCCAGGACTAGGATCGGCGCCCCATTTTGGGTCACGCGGCAAGCCGACCGTCATGGCGTAGGTGAGCCATCCGCTGATCTAACTCAACGTATCCGTGTAGAAAAACATACACATTCCGACATTCCTTTGCCTTGCCTCTAAAAGCGATGACTAGAAAGTGATTCATGTGCGGATGCCAACAACACCAATAGCACACACACCCTCACGTTCCATCCCATCTGGGCGACTAACACTTCGCCTATCCCAGTGCTTCCAGGCATGCCAGTAGTAGGTAATCAAAAAAATATGGATGTAAAACTGAAACCCGAAGGGCACCTACTGCGAAACGCCTTCCGCATTGGGTAGGACTGCAATGGGTATGGGTAACCGGTCAAAGTTAAACCACCAGGGGACCGCAGCGTTTGATCCATGTTTCCACTTACTAGGGTTCTATTTGGGGTACCTAATTTTGAGCCACGGCCAAATGGATCCAACTCAAACTCTCCAACTCCGCGGTTGCCAGTCGCCTGGTTTTGCTGCTGACCAGCTGCGCGATGGACCTGCCATCGACTTCCATCGATCCAGGGCCCCGTCCAACGAGCGGTGCGTGGGACAAGCTGCACTCCTGTGGTGATCGAGCCAGGGGCCCCGTGGAACGAGCGGTCGGAATAGAACAAAAAGGAGAAGGAAACCGAAATTTCGGTACTTCAAGGGTCACTGGACTTCCCTCAAACGTTCATCGATTTACAGGTGGATTCCACTGAAGGTGGCCACTTTGGGAGGTCCCTTAAAACGAGGACCTCGAGAGATCCCTGGCCCCGGTTTAACGTCAACTGGCACCTCCTCCGGCCAGCGCCCCCGGCCAATGCCGGGCGCTCCACGCGCTCTGTCCTGCGAGTCGAGCGCAAACCGCCCCCTCCAGCGAACAGTGTCTAGGTCCTCCAGAATTGAGAGGTTAGAATAAGGGAACCCTTTTTTCCTGTAGTCTACTTTAGTAGGGGAACCCTCCCCAAAAAAAAGTTGAAATGAGTCGAACATCCTGCAGGAAACCCCAGTCCAAGGTGAAAACATTTTAAGACACCTGCCGACCAAGTGGCCGAGCAGTTGCGACGCAAACACCAAAGAGCCCAAAGAGTGTCGATGAAGGTCTTCCATGTTTGGAAAACCCGACAACAAGACATGAGTCACTTGCTCAAAACCCGGAACAAAAATGGTCGTAATCCCAGAACCATTTCTCAGGAATTAAGAAGGCGAATATCCGCAGCTATTTGTGGCAAGGGGATTGTCTCTTGCCAACCTTCATCTATGTGGGTTTTGATTGTGGCTCAAATGGGAGTTCCCCCATATTCCTGGCCCCCAAAAGACCATCAGTCAATACAAAACCACACAGAAACCAACACACACAACCACGCGCAGTCACACACAAACCAGCAGGCACACAAACCAACAGGCAATCAACACAATGGAAATGAGGGTTCATCCGTATTCCTGGCCCCCCTCTAGAGATCTGACCATGGTAACTTTTCCCCTTCGGTGGAGAATGTAATCATTTTAAAGACCATGCATAACCTTTTCCCGTTTAGCGGGGAAAGTCATCATTTTGTGTGGTTTCCCTGTGGTCAACCCATGCAAAGGACCATTTGATCAAACCCCCAAAGGAGGGTTTTCTGGGTGCGCTTTCAACCGGAAGTGCTTGGCGAGCAGGACAGGGGTGGGATAGTCACAACCTGGAAATCTAAATGGAATTGGGGTGAACCCATTGACCCAATTCAGGGCGCCAAACCAAAATCCCAAGCTTTTGGAGGTGCATAAATGAGAACAGAAACGAACGCTGTCCAGATGGTCTAAGGGCTATACAACGAAGACCATGGATGTCCTCGCTTTTCTTCCAAGACCCTTGCAAATATTACCTGGACCCTTAAGCTACCCTGAACAATTGGTTATTGCCTCAAAATTATTGAGTGAAATCCCTTTTCCAATTTTGGGTAGTTTGAGGGTCCAGGCATACTCAAGTTCCCAACAGGGCACTTGCGTTTGATCGGGCAAGGGTGCTCAACCCTTCGGCCCTTCAGCCTCGGTGAAACCGCTTTTTTTTGCCGTTTCATCCGCATGCGACAAAACCAGATGAAGCGCGCGAATGGTGGGATCGAGGCACGAGCCTGCCTCGTCTTGGTAAGGGATGGCGAGACCACTCCGATACTGTTCTGGCTGGTCACTCTGTTGAGTGTGGGCCTGAGGCGTAGATGGCGCACAAGGCACGGGAGAAGGCTACTCGAAGCGTGCTGCGCACGGCACCTTCAAAGACCGTGAGCCAATTTGGAGCAACTGAAACTTGCGAAGATGTGGGGAGAGTAAAAGAGGGGTGTACTAGCCATGGTCAACACAATCTGGGCCTTTCGCGTAAATCATGCGGGTGTCCCAACTGAAAGCCAACCTCATTAAGCCTTTCTTGCATCAGCACTCTATGTAGCCCTGAACCAAAAAAAAGGTCGAGTGGCCCGCTTGAAGAGTCTGCAAGGGGCTCATGTTATATATACTTGTGAGGCGTCAAACTTAGCCCTCTGCGAGGCTCCCTCGTGCTCCTGCAAAGGCGCGGGGGGATCCACGGCGCACTCTGAGGATTGCGGGGTCAGTCCTCAAATTAAATGGTCGGGGTTGTCAAACCGGGGCCTCGACCTGGTTGATTGATGTTATTTGGATGCAAAAACCAACAGTTCAGGGCAAAAGAACAGCGCCCGCTGCGCGAGGTCGTAAAACAAGGCCATTCTCAAGCTGTGTTGTGGTGCTGCACAAACTAGTTGGCCTGAGCGGGTCAGAACATCCTTCTGAAGAATCCATATTCATCATGGAAATGCGAGTGCATCTCACAATAGGGAGACCCCACAACTGCTGGTTTCCTTTTGGCTTCTCTTTAAAACCAAAAAGGGGGTCACCCCGGAAAGACTCTGATAAAAGCGTGCAAGCAAACGTCTTCTCGCCAAAGACTAAAAACACAAGCGGATGCTGCCAGCCAAATGGGCCCTCGCCTTTTGGTGTCCCTTTAAAACCAAGCAAACGGGGTACCCTCATAAAAGACTTTACCTAGTTACTAGAGAAACGGGTTTGCTGTTCAGCTGCGACCGTTTTTTTCGTAGCAGCTGGACAGGGAAAGGCGATTAAAAGATCTCCTCGGGAGTGAGGATCTCCTCGAGATTCTTGATCTCTGCGAAGGTGGGCAGACCTCGGCGTAGAAGAGCTCGGCTCTCGACTGAAGCGCTGGGGACATGCCCATTCGGGGCCCCCTGTTTGAACAGGGATCGGAACATTGCCTTGTAAATGGTGGTTTCCCTTTATTTTGGTGGAAAAAACCATGTTTCAATTGGGCAACATGATCTTTTAAGGAGCCCTGTTGAAGAAGCCGAGATCATCCAACATGAGGTTGCAAGAGGTCGGGTGCTCTCAAGCTGGAAGCTTAGCGTCCCTAGCTAGACATGTTAGGCTCATGTTGGGTTCAGGCTTTCGTGCTTAAAGCTGACCGGGTCAGTCCCAGCTCCGCTTTTGTCCACGAACCTCTGTTCTCTTCCCTCAGCTCATTCAAGGTGATGGTGGTTTTGGCGGTGGTGCTGGTGTTGGTTGTGGTGCAGGTGCTGGTGCTGTTGGTATTGGTGCCAGTTCTAGTTCTAATCATGCCACGAGCCATCCTGGACCAAAACGACCAAGGCTGTCAGGTTGTCTCATAGTGTGTTGAGCCCAACTTCTTCCTCCTTAATCATCCACCCCTATAGTTATCTTACCAAAGGCCACTTCAGAGTGCGGATTGACCGTCCTTGGGCGGCTTTGGTATCAGCTCACATTTAACTTGCTGTTATCGTTGGTTGCCAGTGTCTGCTGCTTCTGTTTCAGAAGGGTTATGTATTTGCGGATCTGAATGTTTTTTTGTGTTTTGTTCAACACGAAACCCAAAAACCAACAGGAAACAAACCTTGAATTGAATCGGCTGTCCTCAGATACCCTGCTAAGAGTTTAACTTCTAGTGGGTTAGATGGAAACCCCCGCTAAACCAACTAAGCAAAGGAACCTGGCTGGAGCCACCAAGCTAATTGGACAGGTAGGTTCTGATCGTCGCTCAGCAGGCCCCAGGCCAGCACAAATCAGCTTTGAGGCCGCCGCAAACAAACTGAAGGAAGCCGGCCTGCATGGGCGTACAGGCGCTGACATCCAACCGAACCGCCCACACCATGGTGACACAGACCGAAATCTAACTTCAAGTCAGGCCTGAGAATGAGGTCCACATAGGTCCACAACAACTTTAGCAGGAAAGCAAATGGGCATATATATATATATATATGGTGCCTCGTGCCTTCTGGGATGAACACTAAGGTACTAAGGCAAAGGGGTAGGTCAGCCTCCCTATGAAGGAGCTTTGATCCCGGGTAAGGTCGCCACCGCTTTTATTGTGAGGTTGTAAATGTTTGCCGAAATATATTTGCAGTGTCTGCCTGCCAACTGCAATTCTCACCAAAAAGCGTCTGCGCTTTTCGGAAAGTTCTCAAGTTCTTGGGTCCTTTTTTGACGGTGCCTAGTGGAAAAGGAGAGCGGACACTACTTCTAGTAGGTGTCATTGTTCGGGGGACCCAAAATCGCTTCGGTTTTGCTCTTGGTGTCCAGGTAATTTGTTGAAACCTACCAAAAAAGGGTACCCCTGAAGAAAAACAAAAAACAAACGCACTCTACTTAACACTACCATCCTTTTCCACTGGAAAACATACCTGGAGGGTCCCTTGGTACCTTCTTAGGATATACTTCGGGGTCCAAGAATGGGTCAAAGTAGATGCTCAACCGGTACTAGGGACAGCGGTGTGGCATGCGGTGGCATGTGTGGCATGTCTTATGCATATAGGCGGTGGCTCTGAGTCATCTCAATTATGCCCAAATATATTGTCAAGGGGCAACAGCTTCATCCTCTTGAACAAGAAACACACATCGAGGCTGGTCAAAATCTGTTTGGTCCAAATCTCACTTCCTTCCTGAGTTGATTGGCCCAAACAAGTCTACACTTGTTGTTTACTACTAAAATATTGGTTGACGTTGGAAGGGAAGCCAAAAAACCATGTCTTAGCAGCTAAGTGGCTGGATTTCAACCACTAAACCCACCATATGCAATATAAAATGCTTCCCAACAACCATGAAATGGTCGCAAATAACTCAGCAGCAGCTCTACAGCTCCGACGGATGTCTCTGCGCCTGGGACTTCCCGAGCTTGAAGTCTGCACGATCGCACAATGGCGACACCGGCAGGCCCAACCTGGCCAACTGGCGATTCAACTTGGTCTTGGCTTACCTGGTCACAGAAAATGACCGAAACACTTACACATCAGTTGTTCAGTTCATACATATGTGCAATTCTTATACTTTCAAAGGTTGAAACGCACCCAAGTAAAGGACCTACATGGTGAGCTCGTTTTAGTGAGCTCGCCACGAATCAGGCAGACAATTCCACACAAATGCGTTCTTGCTCCAAACCATCAAAGCGGCCATCAGTCTGAACCGGTATGTGATCCTTGTATAGGCCAGTCGTATTCCCCAATCATTCAGCCAAAGGTAAACAGCTGTCTGTTTGGGCCCCGAAGCTAACACGGTGGATTAAGTTTGATCAATCGCCAACCAACATGACTAATGACTTCCTCGGGGCATAAGTTAACTAGCGTGCCAGAGCCTATAAATTGATAACTGCATGTGCCGGCGTATTGCCGGCACAGCAAATGCAACTTTAGTGGAAGTTCACCTCTGTCCCCGCTAAGTCAGACATTCGAAACTGCAAGGAAAGATGTTCAACCAGAGATCGGAGCCGGGGAAAGGGGGGTGTGACTGACACGGCTGCCAGAGCCAAGGTCCGGCGATGTCCATACTGAAGGAAGCCATTTCCCCACCCCCCCCCCCCCCGCCCCCCCCAGAAACCTTTGGAATGATGATATCCCCGTAAATACCAAGAAAGAGTGGTTTTTCATGGTTTCAAAGTGGTGCAGGATTTTGTCCATCCACAGTGCTTCTCACACCTGGCCTGATCTCTTCATCGCCCTGGGCATGAAACTCCTGGACCACCCGCATAGACCACGCCTGCCAGCACTGTGCACGAAACATGAGCAGAACAAAAAAGCAGCCGCCGCAGAAAGTCGAGGACTTGTTTCTTTTTGGTTTCCCCCTTCAAGCAAGGCATACCAAAGTCCCGCAAAATTATGGGGGTTGATATGGGTTGATTCCCATTCTGTTCAACCGGTCATGTTCAAAAGCCAACCGTTTGCCTTGCGGTGGTGGAATCCTAGAAGGAAGTATCCCTGGAAATAATGCGAAGTCAACCCTATAATTTAACCCACCAACTCGCAACTCCCATCATTGCTCTGGTCCCTGATTTGGATAAGCAAGGAAACCACAAGCAAAAATGTCATGATGGGCCAGCGTACTTGTGGACATGTACATATACATGTATATATATAGTATATTATGTATATATCTATATATGTCCACATAGTTTATGCATATATGTACATATATGTATACTATATAGATGCATGTATAGAGTATGAGCTGCGGCAGTTATTTGCATGGTTGAAGTGTCCAGCCTCGTGGATGTCCCAGGGCTTGGCCGAGTGACCGATGTCCGCAGATCTGAACAGCCAGCTCATGACCTCTGCTCGGATTTTTTGTTCGGCACTGGCGTTGAAAACAAGTCCAAGCACATGGTTTCGGCGGATTTGTTTTCGAGGCAAAAGGCAGGCAAACGAATCTCTGAGGGAAACCGAAACGAAAGGGAATTTGTGCTCTGAGGTTGGTTTTTGAGGCAAAAGGGAGGCAAACGGATCTCTGAGGGAAACCAAAAGGTTAGGGAATTTGTTTTCCAAAATTTGGCCTTAAGCTCACTTCCGATCCAGTGGATAAGCCACAAGAAGCCTAAACTCTTTGTCCACTAATGTCAACATTATGTGCTTGGATTGGTGACATGATCCAATGGCAAGTTCTTTCACGTTTCGGCGTCTCGGTCGAGCCAGCAGCCTGACATCTCCAGCCCTGCCTGCGAACTGCAGTGCCCAAACTGAGTCACTTGCTAAAACCCCGGGTATTAAAATGGTAATCCCAGAACCATGTCTCAAGAATTCAGAAGGCGGAATTCCGCCACTATTCCTGGCGACTGCCCCTTACCCGAATCGGTTCCGAATCGGTTTTGAGCACGTGGCTCTGGGGTTTCCCTGAGGCAAAGAGGTCTCGCTCGGGAAACTCGTGGCTAACTCGTGGCTGCGTGTCAATTGACACGCATGTTTTTTTCTCGCCCCAAACACGGCAAAAAAACCACCCGAGGCAAAAGCCAACAGGAGGCTCGTGGCGAACAAGGCTGCGGCGAACTGCTGGTCAGCCACGTCGTCGGCCACAGAGAGACTGCCGGAGCTGATCTTCATACGAAGACTGCTTAGGTCCTGCAGGTAGCGGCTTCTCACTTCCGATCGAGTGGATGCGACAACGGTCTTGCCAAAGTATAGAGTCCAAGAACTCGGGAGTAAACGAATGCCTTGAAGGCTGAGGTTTGTGGATCCCACTTTCAACAAGTCGCAGCAGATCTAGGCGCCCATGGACCTGCAAGCTGCAAGAAGTTGGGCAGCATGTTTGCTCGGGAAAACAGTACTCCCAGTGATTCCAGGCAAGCCGCTACAGTAGGTAACCCTTTGGGTTTCTTACCAGGTCTTACATGGCGGTTTCCCTTGGTTGCCTATGATTCCAAGCGCTGGAAGCGCTGGAAGTTTTACACCAAGCCAAGGCTTGCAAGTCGAGCTGCCCAGATGGAGGACTGGGTCCGTAAGAAGGTCAACAGAAGGCACACCCATGGGTGTCTCTGTTTGTTTAGTTGGTACCAACTTTGGGTGGTCTCAAAGGGGTAGCAAACGGAACACCACCTTTGTTGGGGTCCCCAAAACAAAGACACACCCGTATCTGTGCAAAGGGAAAACGGAGGTTCTGAGTTCAACTCCGGGCAATCCGTATCAACCCACACAAGGAGAGATGCTGATATTGCCACCAAATATTGCCTGATAGGCCAAGCATGATCCTGTCTGCATCAACGTGCAATATTGCACACACTGAAAGCATAGAATGATTGTACCCAAAGGAAATAATCAGGCGATGGATTTTGTCCTTTTAGCCTTTCTCCTGAGCCCTATGCATAAAACTACTTGTTTTGAGGCTGGAGAAAGACCAAGCCGGACCTCCTTCTTGGAGGGACCGACCCGTTCCATGTGACCTCGGGAGTACCGAGCGCCTGCATCAGCTTCGACATGTCCGTGCTCAGGATCAGGGAGGTCATCCAGAATCGCTCCTGTCAAAGGGCAAAGAACTGACCACAGAGTGAGACATAGTCAGAACGCATTTGTTTCTTCCCCCCATGGATCTACCCTTTTCTCACAATTCACTGCTGAAGGGGCAGTGTGTGCTGCTTTTAGTTGGGCTTTGGGAAAGGCGGCAACCAAAAGTTGCATGTCCAAAGATCATCTAGAAGCGTCAGGCTCTATTTGTTTCAGGCAATCTTGAATCCAGGCCCGAATGATTTGTCAGTCGGTTTGCTTGGTCTAAACATGCAAAAACAGCTATCAGAGGAGCCAACGCAAAATAGTGAAAACGCAAAATTATGGAGCCAATGGCCCAAAAGTAAAAAGGTAAGAACGTGAAATTCTGAAGCCAATGGCCCAATAGTCTATCAGTAAAAAGGTAAACAAATAAAATCATAAAACAAGGTCAGATTCCGGAGCCAATGGCCCAAAGCAAAAAAAAAAAAGTAGCATGAAATTAAACACAAAAAGCCAAGTATGTCAGCACATGGCCGCCATGGGTTGAAATGCTATCGTTTTTCTACTGTTGCGTCATTGGCTCCAAAAGTTCACGTGTTCTTTGTTTTTTTTTTTTTTTTTTCTTTAGTTTTACTTTTGGGCCATTGGCTTCAGAGTTGTAGTTGTTCACGTTGTTTACGTGTTTACCTTTGGGCCAATGGCTTCGGAATTCTACTTTTTACCTTTGGCTCCAACGCAAATGCTTTGTTTTGCATCTTCTGACCACATTGACATCTCAGCTTAGAAATGGGAGAGGTTTAGATGGTAGGGGATAGGGTTTAGGGTTCATTTACTCACGTCTGCTTGCTTTTATTGGTGTTGCTTGGAATTCAACAATAATTTGATAAGGATGTCAGTCAATGTCGAGTAGAATTTGTCTCAAATTAGAATTGAAAGAGGATGTCCTTCCCCAGGATGTGCTTTTCAGTGTTTCAAATACAATTCAAATAACATCTAATAAGGACATCTGTTTGTCTAGTTGTGAAGATATGTTGAATTGGATTCCTTTTCAAAGAAGAATTGTAATTGGACTTGTTATTTCAATTTAGATGTTAAACCCAGTTTTTATGAGTTGATCAGACAGTAATAATAAATTAAGAAGGGCATATGTCTAGTAGACATTCTAGTGTTAACGATAAGTTAAGCAGGATACTTTTTTTAACGAAGATTTGTGCTTGGAATGATTGTCAAATTGGATAGAACAGAATTCCATTTCAAGGATGAACATTTTCTAAACAGACATGAATAGTTTTAAGCGTAAGAAACACTCATACACATTCTAGGTTTAAAGATGTTTTACACAAATGTTTAATTGGGATTATTACTTTAAATTAGATTTAAAAAGGACTTCCTTTCCCAGGTTGGTTTTCAAATTATTATTCCATGTCCGAATTACATGTTAATAGTATTGTAAAAAGGATATAATTCTAGTAGAGTTTCTAACTTTGAAGACAACTAAATAGGACTTCCTTGTAAGTCTTTCTGGAATGTGTATTTCAAACTAGATCTTGAAGATCCATCCGCGGTAGCAGTTATATACAACATATATGTACACAAACATATGTCAGTAATTACAAGATGAGGCTGCCTTTGTTCATGGTTGAACAATCTTGAATCAGTTGCTCGTCAATTTGTCTCGCTTGTTGAGAGCATGAATATCCTTGGTTACTCCTGGCTTTTCGTTGCATCAAACTCGTTGGAGCATTTATCACCGAAATCTCGTTGCCACACTTCACCCCGCAAGGCAGCCAGATGCAGCCAGTCATGTTGACCTCAAATTGATCAACCTGGTGGACCGTCGGGGCAGTGTTCCCAAGTGAAGCTACCTCGGGCGCCCATGCGCGGTTCTCAACCAGCTCAACCGGGGTCTGACTGTGGGCTCTAAAGGGCGACTTCCCCGAACTCACATTGGCCTAAGTGCATTGATGCCATGTCTTACTGCGCTCACCTCGAGATTCGAGTCTCCCGACCCTTGAGACCTGCCAGGGACTTGGACGTGCGGGGCTCAAAGAGCCAGATGCAACGCCCTAAGGTCTAGGTCCTCCAGAGAGAGGTTAGAAAAAGGGTACCCAATCTTTTTTCCGTCGTCTGTTTTAGTAGGGGAACCCTTCCCCCAAAAAAGAAACGGTAAAAGGGCACGATCCTGGCAGACCTAGAGGTGTTGCATGGAAGAGAGACACCAGTAGTGACAAATTCCTTTTAAAACCAAGAAAGAAAAATAAATAAACAACATATTATTAACCAAATGGAAATCATTCAAGTAAAATATGGCACGTGGGCCAGGGGAGTGGCGAAAATAAGCTTCGTGCGTGGGCTTCAAGATTTTGCCTCTGTCAGGAATTAGAAGCATGCACTCATTGGCACTCGCCCATGAGACAAGGTGGATGTGTGTTCAGACGAGCAATTCTTGCGCATCGAACTGGCATACGCGAAAGCAACAATTGACAGAAGCCACATGGTGTGTGGGTGTGTCTTTTTGCAGGGGGACCCTAACATGGTGGGGTTCCTTTTGGTTGGCAACACGCGCACACTCAGGACTTGGAGACAAACTCATGCCCGCTTCCAGTGAGTCTTTGCCTGCTTCTGCTCTTGCACCGGCAAAGAAGACAACAAGTTCGCGCCCTGCGCGGGGCAAACTCGGAGACTCGGCTCTGGAAGACCTTCCACCTGTTTGTGCCAAGAAGCCTCCGAGTGGTTCTGCTTCAGATTCGGAATGCTCCCCAACCATCATTATTTTCAACAACCAGCTGTTTCCCCTGGGTGTTTTAATGGTTTGCTGAAAAGAAAGGTCCCTGGAAAGAATGGTTGGAAGTTCCCCTAAAAATACATAAACTAAGCCGCTAAGTACTATGTCCAGCAGTCCGGGGACTGAGCTTGGCGTTGGTCAAACTGCTCTCAACATTGAGCAGAACAAAGTTCTGGTGATTGCCCCAATGCATTTGAGCACCTTCAAATCCAAAGTTTTTGCTCAGGAACCCTTTGCAGGTGCATGGGGGGGGGGGCTAGGTTCAAATTGGGAGTTCTCTTTGTCTACTAAACATGGTGTCGGTGGTTCTCTCACGATTCTGGTCACCAAAGAACTTCAGCATGTTCCCAAACGGAAGTTTGGCGCAGTTCTCTGCAAGAAACAATTACCGCGCAATTGTGGGTAAAGGGGCCAGGTTGCCAGCACAAAGCACTTCCAATAGTCGAGACCTTACCTAAGTTCCAGTGACTGTCCGTATTCAGTCGAGCAAACTGGCGGTTGACCAAGGAAGACCTGTACTGTGTTGAATCCGGACAAGGAATGTGAGATTTTCGCCTTGTCGCCAAATGTCTTATTTATGTTGCAATGGCTCAGGTCCGTCCCAATCTTCCTCCGGTTGAGTGTCCCATGTCAAAGAGGCACAACCCCCAGGTCAGCAGACGAAACAATGCAACGATTGCACCTAGGGTCGATTTAATGCCCGCTTGGCACCTTGCTAAAAAAAGCCGTCTCGCAATGACTCGCAAGTGAAATGCCGAGTCATAATGACCCATCTGCTTGAGAGAACAAAGGCCCAAATCAGATTGGGATGTCCCAAAAGGATGCTCTAACAGCACCCATGGCCGCCCAGTCGAGCGTAGGACTCTCTTGCTTCCAGGAGATACACTGGCTAATAACGGTGCAGCTCTAAACCCACTAGCACCAACTGTTGCGATCCACCCAACCACGAAGACCACCAGCGGCTTGAGCAGAATCATCCAAGCCAAGCCTGGGGCGCTTGTCATGCGAAGCGGATCCAAAAAAAACAGCCATCGTTTCCCATCCGGGCATTGCGAATCCAGCCTTCACCGTCCCACCCAGCAGCCTCAGTCATCAAAATTCAACAGGCTTGATCGTTTCGGCCTGGCTACTGCTCAGGCTCTGGCCGTGTGTTCAGGCGGCTTGATACATTGAGTAATGAGATCTGCAACGTGTTATCTCCCTCTCCTGCCTCGCGTGCTTCAGTCGTTGTGGCAGGGGTGCTTCTTCAAATTGGGGGGCCCCTTGTGGTTGGTTTCCCCTTGGTTTACTTGCAAAACCATCCAAAACAGGGTCCACTATTTTCAGGAACGCCTGCCCAAAGTAAAAGTGGGCCCTGCACGCCCCGAAACAACTTCTCGCTTGCTGGGCCGGCCCGGCCGCATGAGCTCTGCTGAATGGAAATTCTCCAGCACGCTGCGGTCGCTATACCTGGGGGGGGGGGGGGAAAACATGCGTGTTGGTTTTCATATGTTTCCCCCCCAAAACCAACATGATACCCAATTGACGCCAGCAATGTTCAGCCACAGGTTCTAAAATGTAGCACTCACTTTGCAAAGCACCTCAAGCAAAATGCAAAAACACCGCCAATACACATGGCTGTTTTTAGGGGACCCCCCCTAGAATGGTGGTTTCCCTTTAGTTGCCCTTTAACCCCCGCCCTCCCCCCCCAAAAAAAAAAAACACGCGCACCCACATGAACGTTGATGTTAAGCGAGTCTCCTGGCGCTCTGAGAATCATGGGAGGCTCACTTACGGCTTGGAGCTTGCCTGCTCCAAGCAGCTTGAGGCTGGTCCCAAACGGTCAGGCAGGCGCGTTTGACCCTGCCGTCTGCCGTGGTCTTGGTGGGAAACTCACCCCGAAAAAGAAAGGTACCCCGAGCAGCGAGATTGGAATTTGAGATCCGGGAATGATCTGAGCCTGTTTGTAATGAAAGCAGCTCCTCTGAACAATCTTCAGTCTTCAGTGTGTGAACACACGCCAAACCGATGTTGCTCATCTGTGAACGCTGCATTTCCCGCAACCCGTCTCCAATAGTCTAACAACTGCCAGTGCCTGTAATTGAACAGGCTGGACTTTGCCTGTCCCTTCCAATTCCAAATTGACAGTACTTCTTCAACATGGAGTGTTGGCCATCCATCCGCAATTCCTATTGGAAAGTAACTTGAGTTACCAAAGGAAATGGTTGCCCGAGGGAAGGATCTTGGGGATTGCCTTTGCAGGCGCACGTGAGCGCGAACTCATGCCGGGAGTTGATCAGGAAGTTGTTGTTAAAGCCAGGGTGTCCAACATCCTGGCGCAGCGCATGCGATGTAAGGGACTGAACGAGAGTGAGCAACAATCAGTTGGCATAAATCAATACATTCAGCTAGCACACAATGGGCAAATGTTGGCGTTCCCTTGCGGTACCAATTCATAGCATGCAAGGAAAACACGTGATGCAATGTTGTTTGGTTTATGGGGAGCGACCTCAACAGTGGTGGGTGGACAGAGCTCCCCACCTAAAATGATGTCCACAAGAGGGTCCCTAATTAACATTCATAGCCAGTATATAAGCGGATCATGCGGCAAACCTTGTCGAACTCGTTGATTGAAAGCGCCCTCCTGCCCTGCCTCTAACGTCATTTGCAATGACATGTCAATCACTTCCCAACGTACCTGAAAAGCTGAGGTTTGCAACAGGTGAGCATCAGGGAACTCAACAACTTGAATCGTTCCCGTCCAAGGGAGCCAACCCGCAAGAAGCTAATTGTTGCTGGGAAAGGCAGGGTTGTGATCCAGCGTCCCGCATCCCGATTTGGGGCAAACATATATATATATATATACATATATATATATAGACACATCAACTATACATATATATATATAATATTATATTAATATTCATGTGTTACTCTCCTCATTCTCTCCGAACGGAGTTCCCTTGGCTGCCAAGTAGGATTCCCTAAACTCCCATTTCCCACCTAAACCCAGTGGCCGAGTCACAATCAAAGCCCGGTATTACAAGGGTTGACCCAGAACCAGGCGGATAGCCGCAGCTGTGTCGCGGGGGGGGGTCCCCCCCAATATTTCATGTTCTAACCTCCCCCCCCTTTTCCATTTCGTCCCTGGCCGAGGGGGGGGGGGTTAATTGGAAGGGGCGGGAGCTGCGCTAGCGCGACTCAGTCGACCAAACACGGTGCCAGCTCTGCGTGACCCAAGGCGGCGAGGAACATGCAGGTGACCGTGGTCTCTGAGACCTCCGTGCGCTCCTGCGGTGCGAGTTTCCCCAATCCAATGCTGCCAGCCAGTGAGGGTGACCTCAAACCCCGGAAGATGGTGCGATTTTCCCCTGCCAGTGTGCCAGTGACTTCAAACCCCGGTTGAAATGGTGCTGACCTCATTCTTTTACCATGATCAAAGCCAGCTGGCTGCTCAAAACAGTGCCAAAATGGCAGCTTGGTAAATGGAACCAAAGCCCAAAACATGCGGTTTGCCCTAGCTCTTTAATTCTGAGCCACACTCACCTAAGCGGTGGGTGAAGGGATCCCAACCCCATTTTCTGACTTTGATAACCCCCAGCAACCCAGGCTGGGCTTGGCATGGGATGGAGCAACCCGAATCTGGGTTAAGCTCCGGTCATGTCCCGATTCCAATGAAAACCCGAACCGTGAAGCCCCTTCCATCCGAACAAGCAATGGATTGTCAGCTTGCCGGCAATTCCCGGCCATGGGAACGGCCTGCCACTGCATTAACACTCAAATGCCCCCAAAGCAAATTCATGTCCATTGGTTTTTGCTGCGGGCACCGTGGCCCAAAACAGGTATCCTACAAGCAAGCGTGGGAGGCACAAGCACCGTTGCCAATATGAGAAAACTGCACTTCCCTCAGCTTGATTGCAAGGGTAAGGATTCCTTGTGCAGCGCTAAGGAGTTGTTTCAGGAGCATCGTCCTAAGGATTTCGACAGTCGTTGTGCGCGAGAATCCCATCGACGTCGGTGGACATTGGCTTGGAATGCAATGCTGCAAACGGACAATGGCGGGTTCGCAGAATCGAGTCTGACAGGTGCGCTTGGTCGGGGCCGAAATTGCAAAATCCATGACTCGAACTGTGAGTCCTGTAAGCCGCAGTTCTCGAACATGAAGTACAAAGCATTGGTCATGTCCTCAGAACGGCAAGCTGCACGTTCCCTGCGCGTTCCAAAATCCAACGCGTTGGCACCAGACCAAAATCTCAACGCAACTGACGATACCCGTTGACGTCAAACGGAAATCCAAGCATCCCTTCGGGTGCTTTCCAACATAGGCCCCCTAAGGCCTTGTGCCACATCCCCCCTACCTTGGGGAGGGGTCCCGGTGGGGGGTCCGGGACCCAATTCCATTTATTTACCCTTCCCCACAAAAGGTTGAAGATGACGACCATAAATGGAGATCTCCAAAGGTCACCAATTCCCCTCCCCCAATTCCATTTCAAAGGGGCCCGGTGGGGGTTGCGCCACCGCTCCGGGTGGCCAAAACGAAAAAACCGAGCTCCGTCCAACTCGACGAGCTCCGAGCCCCGCACGGCAGCATGAACATTGCTGTGGTAAGGATTCTGAGCGTCGTATCCTCGGAGGAATTCGAACTCAGCAACGCCATGGCTGTGGCTCAAAAACGTAGGAGACCAAAATGGCACCTTGGCTTACCCCTTACAACTCCAAGCCCTGGGGAAGTTAGTCTTTTACAGACATATAGCCCATGTTACCCAAAAAGTTGAAAAGTTGTGTTTTTAAGAGGTAAGTTGGTAAATGGAGCCCAAGACTAAAACCCGCGGTTTGCCCCGGCTCTTGAATTTTGAGCCATACCTAATATGGCTGTGGTGGTCACAACCGTTAAACGGGATCCCATGTTGGGGGGATTTCGGTGAATTCACCACCCATTTTAGGACTTATTTTAGTGGGGGGATTCCCTCAGGACACCAAATCGGGGATGGTTTAAATCGGTGTCATTCCTCATTCCCTGCCGATTTCGCATGAGCAAGATAGGGACTCTTCAAACGGTGGACCCGAACCATCCGTTTCTGGAAACTTGGCTGGAATTTGGACCCCGGCGAAAAAAACATTAAAAAATGCCTGGTTCGTGGAAGACAAAGGCACCCCCAAAAGGCAAAAAAGCAAAAGGGGAGCTATCACGATGGCATCCTCCCGAAAACCACCTCGCGCCAAGCGGAGGCGTCGAGGCGTTTTATTTGGCGTCGAGGCGTTGAGTCCGACGCTGGACTCCAAGGTGTCGAGGAAGGCGCTCAGATGCTCCTGAGGCGGTTTCGAGGTTCAGGGCTCCCTCTCTTTCCCCTCCAAAAACCTCACCCCCAAGAAAAACTCACCTTGGGCCAAAAAGGTGATGCTTGAAACCACCAAAAAGGAAAATCGACTTGGTCCTCCAGTAGAGGGGTTAGCTTAGATGCCCAGTGGCCAGGGGAAAACCCTTTCCCGAAAAAGGAAAAAGGCACTACTGAGCAACTGGGTTAGAATAAGGGTACCAACATTTTTCTGTAGTCTATCTTGGTAGGGGACCCCTCCCCCAAAAAAAGGCATTAGAAAGGGCACGATCCTGGGAAACCTAGGTTTGTGCCTGGCTGCCCCGGATCTTCCAAGGTGTCGTTCATGCCTTTTCGCGAACAGCTGGAACCGTTTTTCAAAGAAATGTTGCTGCTTGAATCTCCAGGCACCTCGCGCTGGTTTACTCTGAAACAGCGACTTTCCCCGACCAAACGGCGACAATCCCCGACCAAACGACGACACTTTTGCAGTGAAAAAGCGGTTGTTCGGTCAAAAGACTGAAAATTGTGCTTTGTCAAGATGCAGGTAGGGGTCTCTCTTTTTCTGGAGTTGGTACGCCTTATTTGGTGGGGTTTTTGAGGGGAACCAAAAGGAAAGCCGACGCCGTTTCGGGGGGGTGGGGGGGGCAAAATCGACAAAAAGCCACCTAGCAATCAAGGTGGTGCTGAAACCGAACCATCTGGGGACTGTGGGAGCGCAACACTTCTTGGTTTGCCTTGCGGCTTCCTTTGAAGTACTCCAAGCAAAGGGCGCCCTGTGGTTCCCCCAGGCGTTTGGCGCCCTCAAAGCAGAGCACGAAAGGCCCCCGTGTGCCACTGGGACTGGGCTGGGCAAATTTCCCAAGCCAACTATTGAGCCACTTTCAGGCGGATTTTTTTGCGTGGCGCAAGGTAAGGACTGCGGATTTCCTTTGAACAGCCTAGTTGGAAGACTCTCGATGGAATGATGGTCTTTTTGGGGGGGCGCCCTTCGTTGTGGAAGGGGCCTTCCACTTGAGACCAGCCAGCAACACCCAGAAGAACGAAAGCTGATGGGCTCTTGAATTGTGTGGTGTCTTTCGGCTCGTTGCTAGTCATTCCTGGGTCTTCCATTTGGTCACTTTTTGGGGCCCTGGGCATTCTTTTTGCTCGTTTCAGATTTTGAGCGGAAAAAACAAAAATGGGCGGAAACCTTGATTTGGCATAATCTGGCAAGTTTTCTCCCGGAAATGAGCGGAAATCGGCGGGAAATGAGCGGAAATCGGCGGAAAATGAGCGGAAACTTGCGGACACACACCAGAGCCATTTTCCAATTGAGCGTTTTCTTTCTAATTGAGCGTTTTTGGATGAAATGAGCGTTATTTTTGCTCGAAACGGAAAAACCCAGAAAAAAGTGCCCACAGAAGACCTAGGTTTGTTTATCTATTCTTATTTATTTCTTCATACTCTCAACATCTCTCCTGCAAAGCTGCTAGACATCATCCCTTGATGACCTCACCGCATGCTCTGCACTTTTTGCACCCCCGAATACAGCCCCTGTAAGTGAGAGTCACAGCTTCCAAGAAGCCAGCAAAGTCAAATACCTGGGTGGCCATCTAAGGGGGAGGGGGGTTGGGGTCCCCAATTCCATTGTTGCCTTCACCAAAAATGTAAAAATCCAGGGGTCACTTCTCTCCCCCACTTCCATTTTGAAAAAGCTGGGGATGTCCTACTCGCTTAGCTTGAAATTCACCTTTGGGCTTGGGCCGCTTTGCTTGCGGCACTGGACTCCTTGGAGATCCCCTTGGCCAGCTCAAGGTTTCAACTGGCACACGTGGGCTCGTGAAACATTAAATCGGGGACCCGCAACTGGAGAACGGTTGGGGCGAAAATATAGAAAAACGAGAACCCCCCCCCAAAACATGGAAAAACTTTGGAGATTACTTGACCTTGGGGAGAGGCCAGTCAAGGCTCAGACATGATTTTGCTGTTGGTTTCTCCTTAGCTCGAAGGATTTGCCATCCGGATTTGGACCCGTCCTTGGGCATCAGCCCTCGCTCCCCGAGGAACTCTTTGCCCACCTGGCGTTCAGCTGGGTTCCCAAAGTGGCCTCCCTTGAAACACTGCAGGCTATACAAATATAGCCTTAAGTAAATAAGACACAAGTCCTACTGCCGGCCAGGTACCCAAATAAGACACAAGTCCTACTGGCCCACTGTTGCAATTTTACAATGGACTTGTCAGGTTCCGAAGAATGAAGATGAGCTCGGGAACTATCCCCATCTCCATGGACATGCTCTTTTGTATAGACCCTCCGGTCGCCACGTAGCCGAGGAAGGGTCTATGCCCAGCTTCATGAGCGCCCAAACGAACATTCATAAGAAATGCTGTCTGAAGGAGATGTAGGTGTGTGTTGACTTGAAGACCCTTGGCAAACATCGTTCACATCGGGGTTGATGACCACCAACCATTTTGGAGGATGCCCATGGGATGTCCGTCCTCGGAATTTATTGGCAGACACTGGAAACCTTTCAATTGGTCGGCCACTGATATCACATAGCTGATTGACCCTTGGCAGTAATGCAAGCGCTTGTCTTGGACATAGTCATCTTCATGAGCAACTATGTGGAATGTGTATTGACATTGCTGGGAATACTCAGTCGTCTGAATGCAGCTCAAGCAAAGCGCTGACAGCTGCAATAGCTTTCTTCAGACTCCTTGCCAAGCGGGCTGCCAAAAGGTGCGGCATGCTGGAATGCTCCAGCAAGTGTGCCTTTCCCTAAGGGTGTTCCTTGCACACCCTGGGATACACCCTCCGGGGAATCACCCTATCTTAGCCTATGTCCATATAAAACCTGGTTGTTGTTGCTTCTTCGGGACTTTTTTCTACTTGGGGCAATTTCCCTAGGCTGTACTGCCGTGTAATAATTAGTCGGAAAACCATTGGAATTTTTGTAGGGGTTGTAATTAATCGGAAAACCCTTGGAATTTTCGTATTGTTCAAAAGAGTTCTGAAGACCACGTGAAACCCGGCAAGTCCCCGAGCCGTTCCCCTCGTTCGCGGCACCGAGGTCCGGGCAATCTTCAGCACGCTTTGGTGCTTTGCGGCCACCTGACAGCTTCCGGCTGTCAACAGAACCGGCAAAACCGGGGGATCGCGGTGGGAAATGGATTCCACGTGTGTGATACAAAAGACGCCTCCCAAAGACTAGCCCCATATATTTCGGGGTAGATTCCCTGGTGGAACAAAAGTGAGATAAACCCCTTGATCCCACAACCCTGTGGGGTATTTTTTGGCCCGAAAGAGACCCGGAGTTCCTCCAAATGTCCTCGGACCCTGTGTATCAGACCCTTCTGACCATTGATTCGGGACACGTCGAAGCTCCCCGCATGCTTCGAGTTGCGGAGCAAACACACAAGTCCTGAATTTAACACTGCCTAGGGTCCCAAGACCCTATCATGTGAGAGTGTTTGGGGTCGAAGGCCCTCAATCGCTCAATTGCAGTCCTGAATCTAACATTTATATTTGAGGTCTTGGGATCCTGGAGATTGGACAACCGCAAGATTTCAACACCAGTCGTGATGGAACTCGCAGGTCTGCAGCAGTTGCAGCCTTTCAAGCGGCGCTTCTCAAAATGCAAACCAATTTATGCATCCCCAATCCCTCGCTTTGAGGGCCACTAACCCTTTTGCACCTCAGGTTTGTTGCTTGGCAATCTGAAACAAGTTGGTGATCCTCACCTCCCATTCCCGTCATCTCCAGCATCAAGTCGCTGGTTTCGCATAAATAGGGACACATGCCATCTCAAAAGTCGTATGAGGGATGGCTCTGGTGTTCACATCGGAAAACTGTTGACCCCGTCTTAATCAACCCCAGCTTATTAATAGGGCAGTGTCCCTGGGTTTTGTGGGGGATTTCCTGAAGTCCAGTGACGGGGGTTCACTGAGATCCGATAGGGGATGAAACAAGCCTGGTGGAAATAAAAGGGAGCCTTGTTGGAAAACAGCGGGTCCCAGGTTGTTACAGCTGAAGAGGACCAACCCTTAGACCCAATACTGTTTCAGTTGCTCAGGCCCCCCACGTTGAGCGCGTCGAAGCTCCAATCGCCGACCATCAAATGGGAGCGCACGTTGTCCTGGCCGAGTTTTTTGGAGGCTCTCCGAAACAGCCAGCACTATGGGATCGGTGGACTTCATGTAGGTGGGCTACGTCCATCAACCCCATGCGTCTGCCGGTGGGCCTTGTAGACATCATCTAGGTCCTCCAGAGGTTAGAATAAGGGTACCACTGTGTTTTCTGCTCTATTTTAGTAGGGGAACCCTCCCCCGAAAAAAAGAAACGGTAAAAGGGCACGATCCTGGGGATCGCCTTTTCTGGGCAAAGCACAACTTTATCACCAACTAGTGAGGAATCCCTGAGCCACGGACCTTCATCATGGCCAAGCTCGTTTTACCCCAAGTGAGCTCGTCATGACTTTTGCCCAGATCGCCCTTGGTATTAGGCGTTGCCAACTTCATGGCGCCGGGGCTTTTTGTTGGGAGGTACCGTGTTCAAGTTAGATCAAAGGTAGATCATCTCCTTACTAAAAGAAAAACCACCCCCTAAGATAAATCATGTTTATTAGGAGCCACCCCTGAAAATCGTACGGCCCAGATTCATCCGAAGTGAACATACATGTTAACCCCAGATGAATCAACCGCCGTTGGGTAATAGGAGGCGTCCCTGGGTTTCGTGAAACATAATTCATCACTTTGGGAGGGATTTTCCCCACCCCCTATTAATAAATAGATAAGTTCCTTCCCCAGGATCCCAAGACCTCAAATATGAGGGCCTTTGACCCCAAAAGACCTGACACGAGCCTGATTCCTGGGATTTTAGGGCTTAGGAACCACCCTTGAAACATTTCACCCGACTTCGCCCTGACCCATTTGCAACGCGCAGCTCTTCTATTTCAATCCTCGGACTTCAAGGGCAGCTCCGACTGGATGGGCTCCATGCTCTTGGAGGAGGCGTCCTTCGCAGCCTCACCGTGCTATTTTTTCTCGCTTGCTTTCTGCTCCCCTGCTAAAAGTGACCTAACTTTTAGTGGTTGAATTAATGCAGGGATCCTTGTATACATTATACACCTGAACATCGCCTTGTAAATGGTGGTGTCCCTTTATGTTGGTGGAAAAAGCCATGTTTCAAATGGGCAAAATGTATCTTTTAAGGAACCCTAAACTCATTAGTTGGCAAAAAGCCAAAGTCCCAACATCCAAGCAAAATGCACCAACAAAAAATCAACGCGTCAGGTAGAAGGGACGGATATAAACAGATAAAACGATGGGGGTCGGTAGTTTGTTACAAAAACCGGACATGTCTCTTCTTTTTGCTTTGCACATCAGGTAGAAGTCAGCTTCCCACTAATTGGTTTGGATTGGATTGGTGGGAACTGAACTTGGATTTGAACCCTTGGTTCTTGTACGCATAGAAACCACTCTTTAGCCACCAATCCAAACCACCAAACAAGGGTAAGCTGAAGAAGGGAAGAAATAATGAGAAAACACGAGCTGGGAACTGTTTTTTGTTCAAAACAGGCAATTGATAAGACTACCGAAAATCATGATTGGAGACATCATTTGGACCCTTACTCACCTCATCCCGAAGTTGTGTTGCTGCGTTGGTAGGAAAACCGTGGGACAAATCTGTGCCAGGCACCAATGGAATTGGTGAATTATCCCGGGATGAATGGGGCTTCATTGATCCTGAAAGGTTGAGAGTTTTGTCCATCCACAGTGGGATGGGGCGGTTTGGCGGTTTGAGCATGGGAACGAAGCGCGATCTCCAAACCACCAACGAGGGGAATGCTGGTTAAGGGTACCCTGCTGGTGGAGTGAGTTAGATGGAAGCACATTGTTTTTGATGCAAAGGGAAACACTGGGTGCAAGAAACGCAGGCTTATGGGTTTGAAGGTGTTTCGGGGATGCCTTTCCATTTGGTTTCAAGATGAGTAGGGCGGTCAAATCCAAATCCCCAAGCTGAAAAAACCCAGCACCAATTACGGGGAACCTGAGGTACGTACCCCTAATTTATACGCTTCCCAGGGGATCCTAGTTACCAGTGTAGTACGAAACCAGCCGTTTTTCCCCCAACTTTACCTACTATGCAGTAATACACGTAAATGGAAGTACTGGGCTTATCAGGATTTGCCTGAACTCACGTGCTCCTAAAAAAACAAGGGTTGCCTTTTGGCGTCACTTTAAAGCAACCCCAAACAGTAGCCTCAAAACAACACCCCTTCCACAGGACTCAGGCTGCCTTTGATCCTGGACACCTGTTTCAGCGTAATCAATTGACGGATTGGTCTTGGAGTTCCCATACAACAACTCCCGCCCTGCCAGGCTCTGAATCCGCTCTCATTCGGCACCCGACCGAAACACCGCGGCTGCACTTTGCGCGTGCTGGAAAGGTGATGAACATTGTACAACACAAAAATCCACACATGAAACAGTTACTTCCATTTGCTTTTCGCCCCCTGGTAAAAATGAACATCTGTTTGTGATAAAATCCCTTTGAAATGAACAAGGGAACATATAGACCATTTTGAAGCGAATGGAAGTCACGCAAACCCTTAGAGAGAAGGATCCGATGACTGCATTCATGTTCTCTGACCAAGGCCTCTCTTTCTGATGCCCTGTCCCGTAGGTTTAAATGGTGCACCTAATCAGAGATTTCAGTGTTGGATACACAGAAACCACAAAAACAAGCTAGGGGTATGAACGGGCTTCGTTCAGAGCATGGTTTTGCAAGGCCGGCACAACACCAAGCATTTGAAGGACTCCTTTTGACACACATGGCCAGGTTTCACCTTTCCCGCGAAAAAATGAAAGAAAAAGAGAGGTCTCTCTCTCAACTCAGTGCGGCGCATCCGCAAACCGTTGCAAAGAGCTGTCTCCTAGCGTGCCCGACCAGGTCTGCATTGTGACCCTTCCATTTGCCAAAGCCCCCTGGAAAATACAACATATTTCCAGTAGTGATAGATTCCCTTTAAAACCAACAGGGGACAACAAAAACATATTCTTAAACAAATGGAAGGCCCCGTCTTTGACGGTAAAACTGAGGGGAGCCCTTGGGGAAGGTCGGTATGCCTTGACGGGGGCCAGTTCTGAATATCTGTGCCTTCGGTGTGATAGGCAGGGAAGAAATGGAATGAACCTGGGGGTCCGCGAAGAGGAACCTGGATGGCTTCAATTGGAGCCATTTCTCATCCCCTGCCTATCGCAAGTGGAGCCTCCCTTCAACCTCAAAGCTCACATTGGCGAAATGGGTCGATTGATATGCTGAACTATGGGTGTGTTGTTCTTTGAGCGCACCCTTTTTGGGCTAATTTAGAAGAGAAGGCAAAGGGAAACCATCAGTTGGAGGCCCTATTTTGAGGCACACCCATATCATCCTGGTCATGTAACAACACGATACGTTTGAGGAGTGGTATCAGACCACTAGAACGAAACACGTAAAGTATACTGGTGTTTGCAGTAGACACCGTATGAAAATACTGAGAATGCTTTGCATTCCATTCCGACATGGTGTACGGCCCCTTCCGGAATCACATTCCGCCAAGCTCCCGCCATGTTACGGGTAGCCATGTTTGCAAAAATGCCGTTTCCAACTTCTGCGTCACAACTTGCTGTTGGCTGTGTAAAACTGTGTCCTCCATTAGAGAGGTTAGAATAAGGGTACCTTTTTTCTGTAGTCTATTTTAGTAGGGGAACTCTTCCGCCAAAAGAGAAACAGTAAAAGGGCACTACTGGGGTAAATAGAAAAGGTATGCCTTGGGCTGAAAAACGCCTTGGGTTAGGCAGTAGAAACAAAAAAACACCAGGCCCCTTCGGCGATCTTAAGTGGCAAGCAAACCTTCCGTTAGCTCCGGGCTGCGGAACCAATTGTTTAGCAATCGTCCAACTGATTACATTTGGCTGTGGGTCCAAACTGAGTTCCCAAAATGGAACCCTGGCAAATGGAGGAGCCAAGGACTCAAATCTGCGGTCCCCTGGTGGTAGAATTTTGACCCATACCCATTGCGACTTTGGCAAACAGAGCACCACAAAGCAACACGCCTTCTGGGCAGTGGTCAGAGAGGTGTAGTGGAGACTACCACTAAACCAACTCTAAAAACCTCACCGCCTCAGGGAAAAGGCTACCACGAGTCCCACTAAAAATTTCCAAACGCCTCAGGAACCGGAAGACTTCATCGGTTCCGCGCATCCGGTTCTTCCTTTCCCCCGGCCTGGCGGCGCCCAGTGCTGCCCGGAACTGGACTGCTGTAGGTGCAAGGAATGGGAGGAGCCGCAGCCTCGCGTCGAAGGCGGAGGGAACTGGGAAGTTCTTCGAAGGGCGCCAAGAAGAAATGCGGACTTGAGGCGTGTGATGTTCTCTTGGTTGAATTGTCAATCCACAAATATATATATATATATACATATAACATGCTGGGGGAGATGGTATGAGGCTTGAACATATGATATTCAGATTGGTGTTGCTTTCAGCGTCCTCCTAATTGCTTGTCTGGATGGGTGGTTTCGAAATGTTCCGGGGTGATTTTCCAGTTACTCTCTACAAGAACCCAGTTCAGATCCCCAACCCACCACTTGAGGATTACCTGATATTTAGCCAACCTTCAAACACAGCACGAGTGTGGAGGATACTCCGAGCTGCCCACTCAGCCAGCAACTCGAGCAAAGGACCATGTAAAGGTTCAGATTGGGCAAAGTCTGCCCTTCCCAGAACAAGTGCCGGGTGTTGCTAAGGGTATGCTTTTTCAACTGGTGCTAAAGGGATTGGGACTTCCCCATCTCACATCCTGAGTGGGCCACTCAAACACCTTCCCACCGGCTACCATGGAAGTGCACAGACCCCTGTAGAAAGGCTACTTTCCTCTTGGTTAGTCGGCCTGTTTGCACGTCCATTGGTGGGAGGGAACATGGAAATTCATTGTTCTCCAGCTCACATCCTGAGTGGGCCACTCAAATAACTGGAATCAATTCCGAAAACTGGGGAAGTGAGCCACTCTGAGAACCCGAGTCGTCTGGCACGCCACGTTCGTCAGATTCCGGACTCCAGGCCGCCAGGCCGTCTGGCGAAAGCTGCCCCGGCAGCGTCACTCCCTGCTGCACCTCAGGTTCGCATATCACATGCCTTGAAGGGGGGGGATCCTCCCAAACAGGGAGTGGAATTGATATGAGAAGTGCGTATATATATATAATGTATGTATTATGGAATCTTTTGTATATAATACATAATATGCATGTGTGGTGTATCATATACTACGGCGCAAGCACTGTAGAAGAAATCATTGTATAAGAAATTGAGGGGCTGAGATTCCCAAATCAAGTAGGTCGCAACTGCATTTGCTGCTAAGAAATTGAGCCCCCCCTGAAACGCTTGTCCAATTTCTTAGCAAACTTGTGCGATGAAGAACGCATGTTTGCCCATCAGGGAAGTGCCCGCTAAGAAACCCAGGGGCTCAATTTCTTAGCGCGGAGGGTTCCCACAACGCTCCAAGGCTCCCGAAAAGCATGTTGGACCCATCAGTGAAGTGCGCGCTAAGAAATCCAGAAATACAGCCTAGTAAATCGAGACACGGTTAACAAATCTAGGAAATCCAGCCCCCCTGGCCACATATGCAACATAGTTGCAAAGAACCGCCAATGTCTTACGGGTGAGAGATTCCTCGACACAGCACACGGGATACCCCAAACGGAAGCTCGAGCCAAACTCGATGAACCCATGGGATATTGGGGCGCGTGGCCGTGCGAATGGCCCCTCTGCAGACTGCTCGGCAGGTCCGCATGGACATGGGCAGGAAGCCGACACAGAAACTCGAAAAACATCAAAAAACCACAATTCACTTGTTGGTTCTGATTGGACCATGAGTGTGTCTCTTTTGGGGGGTACCTCTTTTTGGGCTCTTTTAAAGGAAACCGACATGGAAAACAACATTCTTTCGTTTTTTTGGGGGGGAGGGGGGGAGGGGGTGGGGCGCCCCGTATCTGTGCCCCGCACGCCACCGCTGATCGAAGCGGTGGGCGGCATCATCGCCGCTTCGGTGTTGCGTGGTGTCGTCTGCTGCCTGCATATGGGCGCACAAGGCCAACATTACTGCGTATTTTGGGTATTTATTCAAACAGGCAGACGCACCCAACATGTGACTCATGTCACTTGTTCCCTTTATTTCCCTTTAAACCAACCTATTAAAAAACATCTAACACACCCAAGTGGGTTCGAAATTTGGGTTGCTTCGGCTCTGCTGCTGGTTTTGACTTGTTCTTGAGGACCCCTGCGAAAAACAAAAAACGTGCTCAGCAGGGAATGAAACATGCAATGACCCCGATAAACTATCCAACTGGTGGTTCCTTGACTCTGGCATCCTTTAAGCACAGTTCTGTCCTTCCATAGTACAATAGCAAAACGGTCCATCGTGGGCCTTCCGGTTCATTCCCACATTCCCAACCTATCGCGCCAGCAAGAAAAGAGGAGGAAAAAGCCCTGCGAAAAGACAACACACACACAGAAAACAGGAGGGCTCCGGGTTTATGATTTCTTTTGAGGACGTCTCCGAACAACCTACACAGAAATGAGAAGACACATTGTTTGAAAAAGGAAAACAACACACACACAACACAAATGGAGGAAACAGGCAAGATCGGTGTGTGCCGTCGGCAACTCACGTTGGCCTGCCGACCGCTCCAGCTCCTGCAAGTTTTAGCGTGCTCCCGTGAATCACACGAGGTGCCGTGTTTGGCGTAGCGGAAATGGAACGTGTACCCTCTTTTCTGGGCTTCCAAAGTGAAACCAAAACTGGGCTGTCCTCAGATCCCCCGCTAAAAGCTTAACTTGTAGTGGGTTAGATGGAAAACGACCACTAAACACTAAAAGGCTAAAAAGCTGAGAAGCGGCCGCTCACCGTTCATGGCCCAACGGGCCCGACAGGCCTGACGGGGAGAACGGCTTCAGGGGCTTGACGGGCTTTACGGGCCCGACGGGCTCAACCTTGCAGGACAACTCCGCGCGCTGGACGGGCTTTAACGGAAAGATAGATCGTTAGATTAGTAGACAGGTAGATAGAACGATAGACAGATGGATCGATATTTTGATAGAGATTTAGATAGATGGGAGAGATGGGGAGATGATAGATGGATAGGTAGATAGGTAGATGGACGGAGACAGATAGATGAAACTGAGATAGATGGGTAGAAGAGAAAGGTTGACAGAAAGAATAACGGGTAGGTAGATGAACAGACAGATGGACAGATAGATAGGTAGACCGATACATACATAGAGATGCGCAAATAAATCGGTAGGAAGGTAGATAGAAGAATAGCAAGATGGAGACAGAGGGAAAGAGAGACATATCGATTAGATATCATTAGAACAGATAAATAGATATGCGCAGATGCGTTGGTGTACAGATGACTGGACAAACAAACAATTAGACAGGTAGATGAATAGATGCAGGATTGCCTGCGTGGGTGGATGAAAAGGCAGGCAGATGAAGATGAGTAGGCCGCCAGGGCAGTAAGTGGAGCAGACACACGCTCACAACAGTATTGGCTTTTATCAGGCTGTTTGCCGGCGCCGCTAGTACAACAAGAGCTCCCGATTGAAGCGTCTCCTCAAGATCCCTTTTTCCCAAAAGCATCTCTGGCGCGATGGGCGCGGGAGCTTTCAACGGGGCCTCCGAGTTTTGGCAGCCGGCGCTGGTGGGATTTGGAGGGCATTGGCTTCTGGGATGGGAGCGTTCGTGGGCGTGAGCTCGAGTTTTTTTCTATTAGGCTAGTTGGGCAGGTCTTGCTCCATTCGGAGCCATGGGAACAAGTTCTTTCTCATTCTTTCTCCCTCTCAGGGTTCCAGGGCCTCGCCCTAGCGCCGCCTTGTTTTTCCTCACTCACACGGCTTTGTGCTTTTTAGAGGATTCTGACCTGCTTTTTCTTGCTGTTCCCAGTCCCACAGCCTTGCCCTCGCGCTTGTGCTGCTCGCCCCGGAAGCGGCGCATACGATCTGGAGCGGCTCTTGCGGCCCTTGTAGCTACGGCGAACAGCACCCCAAGCTGCCAGCTGAACCAGTGCCAGCTGAACCAGCTGGACCAGCTAAACCAGTGGCAAAGGCTGACAACAACTGCATAAAATGCCCGGCTTGGATTCTGCAGGGATGCACGCTGACAGTTGGTAGGCTGCTGCGAGAGTCCTGATAACCCACGTGGGCACGGTTGGGAGAATCTCGAACATGTTCTGCTGGCCCAGCTTGACCTACCACGCCATCCGTGCTGCTTTCTGGATAGTGCCGGAAAAAACAGACGGTGCTTGGGCCAGGCCTGTTTTTCCCCCACCAAGCACTTGGCGACCGCCATTTTCTCGGTGGCTCTTTGCTGATGCGATAGAAAGCCCACGAGCCAGTGACCGCAGCCAGGCTTGCTAGATGCGTTATTCCTGGAATAACGCCAACTGCTTCGTTAAGGTTTTGAGTGTGCGGCCAGATCCTGAAACCGCTGCAAAAACCCAACCAGGAGCACAGGTTCGCCCTGTGGCTCTGCCTAAATGCAAACGCTCGCTTCTTGACCGGCTGGAAAACTTAACTCACGACCGGGCCACGCACAGACTTACGCAACTCTGTGAAGGCTTGCCTGAAGCCAGGCACCCACAGGCTCCAGTTCACCGGCCCATGGAGTAGGGTCTCAGGAAGACATTCGAAAAAGAAGAAGAAGGAAAACACGAAAAAACTAATCCTGCCAGCGCCTCCGACCGGTCTTGACCTTTGTTAGAAAGTTGCAGCCGCTCGACCAGCATCGCCACTGCACGTCTATACCAGCTGCTTTCGAGCAAGTCCTTGTGCAAGTGGCGACCGTCGGGGCTGAGAAAAACACACACGAACACTCACTGACTAATTCAGCTGGCTTGTGGCGGTCTCCCACGGTGGCCTGGGCGGGGGCTTGCGCCGGCGCCTTGAGGAGGATCCGTGCCTGGCGTAGTGCAGCGGGTAGTTCCCATCAGGTTACTGAGGCGAAAATACTTTGAAGCACGCGAAACATGTAAACCCGGCAGGTTGTCTACTTGCAAAACAATAAATTGGCCACGTCTGGAAGGAGTGGTTTGATCTATCTCGAGTTTGTCCCTGATTCACTGATGGACAGCGTGGCGGTGGCTGAACATGTGGGAATGGGTCTGCGAAAGGGAAAAGGGCCGAGCCTGCATGTTCTTGGGCCACAAAGGATGAACACACCAATTGTTAGCACGGTCATTTCGTTTCGTTTGAGACAACATGATGAAAGGGTATCCAAGGCACCTAAATATTGCGGATGCCCTGCGATTGGGACCGCGTGACCTGCCTACCTGCCTGGTGTGCCATCTGGTAGCGGAGCTGCGGGTGAAAAGGGCGCCCAACAATTTACGCACGCCAGTTGGAAGCACAATTTGGACAACACGTGTGTGCTTTGTTCAAAGACCAAGCTCAATCGGTGCACCGCACTACGTGCACAGGTACTTGGACTAAGGGACTGCGAGCGTAGTTCTCAAGGGCAAAATTGATCAGAGGCAACGGCTCCCCAGTGTCAAATTCAGAGTGTTGGTGTCAGTCAGCGCCAGTGTGTACCGGTAGGACTTCAGCCCTGAAGCTGTGTGGATGTTCAGGGCCGAGTCCAGGCGCACTTGCGATGCTGCCAACGCCACCAAAGAGGTCGGTCACAGGAAACAGCGGCTCCGGCTCGATGCCCGCGATGTTCGTGTCTCTCTGCCTGCCGCATCGAAAACGCGAGAGTCGGTGCCAAATGCAGTGGCAATCAAACATACGTGACAAGATGCTTGGGAATCTCACACACTCTATATTACCAGCAAAGCGCTGCAGATAACTATTCGGCAACACGTGGCACAAGGTTGCTGCAAATTGAGTCTTGGGAGTGACATCCTGCACAGTGCTTCAGCTGGGTCCGGCAACACCAAGCCAATTGTCCTGTTTATAGGTATTTGGTCGCAGCCATGTGCTGTTGATGCCACCGTGGCCGTCCGTGAATAGAAACACAGACAGCAATGTAGTTTCGTAATAAGGACAACTCACGCAGAGGCAGCAAGATTACGTAACGTACATAGTTTCCTTAACCGAGGTGAGCTGCGTCAGATACCAATGCCAGTATGGAACAGCGCCGTCGCTTGGGTGTTGTTGCAACACATCCTGAGCAAATACCTTAGCGCCACCCCTGGAAAGCCCAATTGCCCTCGCGCCACAAGTTTGGAGGTTGTTTTGTGAAGGGTGGCAAGCGCTAGCACCCTTTCAAAAAATGATACAAACATCTCACTCTCCCAAGCAGCACCTGTCGAAGTGGCCAAAGCCGGGTAGCGATCGATCAAGAGCTGCTGCAGCTCAAGCACCGACATGGCGAAGAAAGCTCTCAGAGCCAAACATTCCGGAGAAGGAACCCAGCACCCTCGACTCCCGACAAAGAACTCGGCACTTTGAGAAGGAGCTCTGCACCCCTGAGAGGGAACCCTGTTCCGAGCGAGCGCGTTATTGGGAGAGTACTTGCATACATGCCTCCGATCCGTGCCGGGCGTGGGTTGTCAGCCAACAGGAGCCAAGTATCAAGATCAACAGCTTCGAAACCTTCAATTTCCCATGACAGCATCAAATAGCCTCCTCTTTTGTCGGCCTTGACGGGCCCGACCCCTTGCCCGACGGGCTCGACGGGCCTGACGGGCCCGATGGGCTTGAACAGTGAAAGGACAGTGGCTGGATGGTTGGGAGCCACCAAGAAAAGGACAACCACCCACTTTGGGGGGTCCAATTGCCTAAAACAAACACACACACACACACACACATATATATATATATATACTAGCAATATTTCCAGGAGTCTTGCGGATATGTCATACACAAAGAAATGACTCTAGGGTCGAAGGAATACCCGACAAAATGATAAGGAAAGCGCAAGGACACCACCCCAAACTGCTGCCATGGTCTGAGGACTCGAAAAGGGCCGAAAGGCGCGCTGCCCGCTGTCCGCTCGCTGTTGGGTATGGGGCGTGTCTTGAGGCTCTACTCTCAAGCAAACGGCTCTGAGAAAAGAAGTACATCTGGCAACCGGGGCAACGGTGCTAACTCTGCCAGTGCTTCCAGGCGTTTCGCCACAATGTTCTGAAGGCTGTCGTACAAACTGGACATTGGAACCTGATGTCTCATGCGTTTGAAAAGCGCCCTAAACCCAGCACAGGCAGAACAAGCAAGCGGTGAACCTTGGGGCCTTTGTGGACTTCATGTAGGTCTCTGTGTCAGAGAACCCTTTCTGGGATAAAGGAAACCACAGGTCTTGTTGACCCCATGTTAATCAACCCCAGTTTACTAATAGGGGGTGTCCCTGGGTTTAGGGAATCAGACCACTTTTGGAGGGGAACACCCCCGTACAACTAAACTGGGGTTGATTAATATGGGGTCAGCACTACACCATTCACTTTGTAGGTTCCTTCATTTGGAGACCAACCCCATGCCAAAAACCCTGATGGGAGCAACAAGATGAACCAGGAAGCATCCCGGGACGGTCCTATCCAGCCAGACAGCTGATCCTGCAGATGTGCGAAGGCGAAAGCCACGGTACCAGAACATCAACAGTTTAGCCATTCTGGTGAGGAACATACCCGTGTATCTACTCTTCCCCACAAACGCGAAAATGAAAGTAAGCATAGATGGAATTCCGGGTGGCGCCCCCTGTTTCTATAGGAAAAAGCAGGGCATCGCACAATGGCACTCCCTGTTCCCTATGCCTGACGGTTGGCCCGGCTAAATGCCCGGGTGAAACAAATAAAAGCTGGGATCACGCTGCGCCATGCGGGCTCATTCATCCCAAGTCAAGATACAAAGAGCTGATAGACGAAATAAATAACATGATGATCCCTGGCCCGCTTCATCCAGGAATGAATCGGAGAACGTCATTGATGTCCAATTGTCGGCCCCTGCAGACATGCTGGAATGAAGGCATGCAGTGACCAGAACTCCTTGACCAGCCATATCGGTACGATATCTAATCGACCGTCAGTGAGAATCATTTACATTGGATTTCTGTCTGCACCAACCGTTTTGAGAGTGTTCCTCACGCAACTTCATGGTCATATTCCCCTGAATGTGTTTCCAGCTGCCTAGGTGAAGACCTCATCTTCCTGGAAAAGGGTCCTTCGGACTTTCATCCCAATTGGCCCAGTTCAAGATTTGCCAACGTGCAGCCGGACCCCCACAACACCCAGCCCATCCCGAAAAGCAATCAATCCCGACCACAGAAACACCGGACACAGGCGCTAAACACCACCCTAACCCCCAAAAAAGGAGGTGCTCCCGAAACCCATCGTCGGTGAGCCGCCTTCGCCTTCGTCTCTTTTCCCAACCCTCGAGCTTCTTTTTGCTTAACCCCGCTTGAACAAAAACCCTGTAGTGAAAAAGCCCCTTAAAACCAACAAGGAACAATATCAATGCAAGCGAGCAAATGGAAGCAAATATAGAAACATAGGTGGCCTTTTGGAAAATCGATGGCCCTGGGAAATGAAATAAACCCCGTCTAAACCAGAGCCATCGACTTTTAACGAAACCAACCTAAAAAGGACGCCTATGCATATTGCGCTATCCTTTAAATGAAACCCCTCAAGCCCCTCAAACCCCTCAAACCCCTGAGGTTCTGTCCAAACTTCCATCCACCCTCCATCCCCCCCCCATCCCACACCTCCCCTATAGAAATGGACGCGAGCAAATGGATGAGACTTCGCCCGTCCTGGAGGTCCGGCACCTCCAAGTCGTCGTTGTTCACGTGGCTCTGCTTCAGCACGTCCGCGCAACTCGCATGCGCGCGGACGAGTTTGAGTGGTCGGACGAATCGTTTTTGTCCCACGCGAAAACAGCATAGTCGGTCTCCAGATTGGCCAAACTGCACAACCATGTTTGGGTCTCCAGATTTGCTTGACCCAACCGCACACAGAAAAGGACCTGGAGAACACCTAAGCGTTCATGCTTGTCTTTGCAGAGTCACATCTCTTTTGTGCATGCCACGGCATGCCGGGAGTAGTAACATCACATCCTGCAAAAATAGACATACAGTATGAAAGAAAACATCTCGAACTAGAATCCTGGGGGTGTCCCAATCTGAATCTTCTGACTTGTTTTGGAACAGATTCAAAGGCAAACATGTTGTATGAGGATGCCCGGGATTTCAATACCCGCATGCCCTTTTGGACACCCTCTTTCTCGGCCTGGACATTTAAGCAAATCCCCCCCTCCGCCACATTCGAATGAGAACGTCTCCTTTCACCCCGGCTTGGCTCCGCGTGATAGCAAATTGGAGCTGTGCGGGTCTCCAGCCCAAACCAAAGACCACCCTGGAGTTTGGTTTGGGGCTGTCAGCCACAGTTGCCATGACCAATCACAAAATCGTCCTTTTATCACGACATGCCCGCATCCTGGCTTTTTCTGAATCGAACAAGCTAACATTTGACTCAATACATGGGCTTTTACACATGGGTCCCAGGCGGTACACAAAGTGTGAGCATGACTGAACGCTGGACGGCGATTCACTCGCGCATGCGCATGTCTATGCAACAAATAACAAACCATTTGTTTGTTAAAGGAGGAAACATAATTCACAAATCCAAACAATTCAGAAGGCCCCAAATAAGAGACATCCATCATCGGAGCACGCGAGCTGCAACTGGTGAGTCATCCGTTCACCTTTCTTGGTAGGATGGTCATGGTTGCTAGAATTTGGTAGGGATGGTCGGAGACTGTGGGCTTTCTTGGGGTTGGTAGGGTTGCCATGGACCCCTTTGCGAAGTTGAGACAACCAGAAGGAACCGTCCCACTGAAGCTCATTTGGAGAACCATTGTCCTGCTACCGACCCCGTGATTCTTGCATTTAAGTCACCCACAAGTAGGTCAAAGGGCAGTTTCTGAATTTAAGGCTCAGGGTCGCAAAGCCATATCAGGTCGTTTGGGGTCAAAGGCCCTAGGTGCAAGGGGATCCTAAACCTATAGAAACGAACTTTGCATAGGGGATTCTAATCCTAAACCTACGTAGGTGCAAGGGGATCCCTACCTTAGGGGGGAGGGGGGTGGTGGTCCCCCAATTCCATTTATTTACTCTTCCCCACAAAAGGGAAAATGACACCATGAATGGAATTCCAGGGTCACCCCCCTCCCCCAATTCCATTTTGAAGGGGCCCGGTGGGGATGCGGCAATAAGCCTGATAAACCACCCCTCCTGGTGAGCAGGTCCAGGAGAAAGTCCACAGATCGCATCCAGTCCTAGGGCTCCCGATTTCGGGTTTGATGCTGAGCGGCCCAAGCGTCAAGGGAAAAGCGGGTGCCACTCTCGGCACCGAAGGACTTGGCTCCCAAAGAACTGGTGACCTGTTGACCAAAGGGTCTCTTGATACCTTTTGAGGGTGTGCTGTAGGCGCCGGAAAGGGGCCAACATGCATCCTCAAAAGAAACTTGCACCCGCTGGATTGGTGCATTTAAGGCAACACCTGCACAAGGTTCTTGATTTGACACCGTCGACAAATGGACCCATGAAATTCCCCCCACTGAATCACTAGCAATTCCCAACACGATGCGGGCAAGCTAAGCATAGATGAATGTGAATATTGACACGAACCTGGAATGTGTCCCCTTTTCCCGCATACCTTCTCAAGTTCATTTGCTGTGACCGGGCCTGGTTACGGCAACACCTACATGCGAAAACCGTCCTTCTCGCGTGCAATCTCTCCAAGAGAACGGGCGATTCCAAACTGACTGCCTTTCTCAGCGCCTCATGTTGGTTGGTGCAATCCTTCGATGGCGCGGAATCTTCACTGAACCTGGGCTTGCCCTCAGATCCCCCGCTAATAGCTTAACTTTTAGTGGGTGAACTGGAAACTACCAATAAACACTAAAAGGCCAAAAAGCTAAGGAACCGGATGGCTTCAATTGAATCTCCGCCCCTCGCTCTCACGTGCTCGCGAAGAATCTCCGGCCCGTCTGACCCCAAGCGCGGGGTCAGCATTGGCTGAGCTCCGCGCGACGTGGGCCCTATTGGAGGATGCCAGGTTGGCGACCTGCACATCCGCCGGACCCATCACGCATTCTCAAGGACACGGCATGAAGTTTAATGGGGGCCCCTTGGGTCGAGTTGTATTTTGTTTGTTGGGGTTCATGTCCACCAACCCTATCAAGATTCGTAGCTATAAAGCCCTGTTTGCCCTGTTGCCTGAAGACGTTTTGCGAGTTCTGACTTGCGCAGCCACCCACGCTCTCTGAGGATCAGCTTAGGGGCTGATAAGCTGCTAAAGCTGTTGATTACACATCGGGATGCTGGTCGTTTACCGAACATGTGCAATGCGTGCTCAAAAGCTTGCAATATTCTGCGCATCCAGAGCGCTGCTTAAAAGTTGGGCCAACAACCTGCTTCAACCTGTTTGGCCACTCGTTACATCCTCCTGAGGAGTCCTCATGAAGGGGGGAAGCAAAAGCGAATGGGAATCACACCCAAACCCAACACGACTTAGCTTTTGCCCCCAAAAGCAAGACGGGTGTCTTTGACTAGCGACCCCCCCAGCGAGTTTTCCTGCTGGTTTCCTGTTTAAACCGAACCAAAAAGGGGTACCCACAAATATTAGACACACCCCGATAGTCAATTCCGGTCCAACTTTCCAAAGACGAGGTCGTCCTTGGGTCTTGAGCCCCCCCAGCGCCTTCTGCAGGAGCTCCTGCAAGAAGTCGATCTCGCCATCCAACAGCTCTGTAATCATCTCAATCCTGGCCAAGATGCTCGCTTTACCTCCCCGATCACCCCTATCAACATAAAAAACAAAAAAAAAGTTCTGCTCAACAGAGGTCCACATATGATGTCAGGAAATGAAACAAGGAACAACATAAGTTGTGCTCTACAGGTTCCCTGATAACCTGTTGGGCCTTGTGTGTGTGTTCTAGCCTTGTCAGGGGCGCTGTTTGAAGACTCCACGGCCATCATATTGACTACCCCGGGCAGTCGTGACTCGGCGTGAGCTGGAGCCTAATGTGAAGCTCCAGGACCGGGAACGTCGGAACGGCGGCACCAAAACCCCAAGGGTGCGATGGGTGGGGCTGGGAAGGAACCAGCAGGGATAGACTCCATTCAAATCCAACAGGGGAAAATAACACATCTTCACTTCAGCAAATGGAGGATGATCGCCGGAAAACGCGACCTCGGCAATCACCATAGCAGCCAGCCTGGTCTTGATGGCGCCTCCGCCACCTACGCGGCTAGAGTCAAAGCCGGCAAACACAACCACCACGGGTGACCTTGTGCATTCTGGTCACCGTGATGTGTGCGGTGAAAACTCCCCATCCCCACGTGGGTTATGTCATGGTTCCCTTGGCACTGTCTAAGCCCTAGTAGAGGGTTCACGACACGCCCGACCAACCCAAAGACCGGAGTGCTTTGACCATTCATATCAAAACCAATCAGCCACAGATCACTGCATGGGGCTTGGTGGGACTGGATTGACTTGAACCTGGTCGACCTACCAATGGCCGCACAGTACGTGCCATTTGGTCAGAAAACAAATGAAACAACAAACAACATGGCCACGCACTCGGCCAATTGAGCAACGTATGATAGGAAATAGGTTTCATTCTGCTGTGAGCTCGTAAACAACATGCGCTCGGACTCTACATGCGTGCGTCAAAAAAATCGGGGAATCACAAATTGGTTGGCTCCCTTCTGATTTCCCTTCGAAGCTCTCCAAAATCAGGTAGCCTTTATTTGGTGGGTTGGATTGGTGGTTTGGGGATTTGGACCCCTGGTTCTTGTAAAGGGTACATGGAACACCCTCCATTTCACCACCAAACCACCGGGCTCCAAACCAACCTATATGGCCCGTAGCCCCAGTGAACATCCCAATCCCCACTAAAATAGACCAAAATGGGTAGTACACCTACCCCAAAATGGGATACCATTGGTATTGACCCACAGCCATATGGAGGCATATCCAATCCAAACCACCAATAACCACCAATAACCACCAAAAACCGCCAATAACCGCCAATAACCACCAATAACCAACAATAACCACCAACAACCGCCAATAACCACCAATAACCAACAATAACCACCAACAACCGCCAATAGCCACCAATAACCACCAATAACCACCAATAGAGGGAAGCCGACAAACGAGGGGGCTCCTGCAAGGAATTTGCCACGCCCCGAAGCGCGAAGCGCCTGGCGCCAGCACATCCGGAACCTCCTTGCCCTGCGCCCGACTCGGGTGAGAGCTCCGAGCAGGTAGTTTTGACCCAGGTCCCCCAGTAGAGAAAGGGTACTACTGGGGACCTAGCAGTGCTGTTTGTCCTAACCCTGTACCAATTCAGGATGCTTTGGGATATAGTCGAGGTCCTCCAGTAGAGAGGATAGAATAAGGCTACCAACTTTTTAGTCCATTTTAGTAGGGGAAAGGTTAGAATAAGGCTACCCACTTTTGTCTTTTTAGTCTATTTAGTAGGGGTTTCCCCTGCCAACCAAAAAAAGGGGTGCCCAGGCCCTTACTTCCTGCCGGTCTTGCTGCAAAACATCAGGTTCAACTCGGGAAGTGAATCGGCTGCTCTCATGGTACGCACAACACACAAAGTAGCAGAGGAGACCCCAGAAGGGGGGCAAGCACCTGTGCCTGAAGACAATCCTCTCCAATTCCTTAGCAGGGATCCGGATGCATTGTACACCTGAACATTGCAACTTGTAAATGGTGGTTTCCCCTTATTTTGGAGTTAAAAAAGCATAAAAAAGCAACATGTGTCAAATGGTTGCAACATGTATCGATCTTTTAAGGAGCCCTGCTTCGCCAAGGTCCGATCTGATCGAGTCCGAGAGATCGGGACCCCTTTTTCATGCTTGTACAAAGAGAGGGTTGAGTCAAGCCTCGGGACTCAGATGCCCTTGCAAAAATTATGGTTGTGTTCGTCCGTTGTGGCTTGCTCCAGTTTCACAAAAATCCCCGGGGAAGACAAAAGACAAAAAAGAGATGAACAACGCCTCGAGGTAGTCGTTCACCGCCGCCCGGACTTGCCTGGCGCGAAGCTCGCGTCTTTGTTTGAGGGCCCTGTTGAGGTTAGGGAGACCACCTGCACAACCACCATTGCTGTTTGTGTTTGTGTTTCTTCTCTTTTGGTGGGCAAATTGACAGTGGCTTGCAACTCTTCCCGGAACGATTTAGACGCAAAGGCCCCTATTTAAAGGTCGACTATGGCTACCTGCCCCAGTTACGTTCAAAAGGCGTTAAAAGGGGTTCAAAAAGCCTTCGCAAGTCGTAGAGCGTACAGAACCGTGCAGAACCGTGACAATTTGGCCGTTGGTGCCAAAGAAAACGAAGGCGGGCAACAACAAACATCCGATCCAGCAGAATCTTGCAAGTGTTCGTTTGGTGTTGCAATTGCAGAAGTTCAGGGGTGGCAGGTATGGTCGACCAGTGGGTCGTGTCAGCAGTCTTCCGTCGGAAATCGATGCATCGGAAATCGATGCAACTTACTCCCCGGAAGTTATACCTGGAGCCAACCAGGCATCTGTTGGCTGAATGATCTATGGACAACTGCAGATAGCTTCAACAATTGCCTCACTAGAAGTAGTCGCCCACCAACAGGTAAGTATAGGTGATGTTCACGCGAAGTTGCATGCTGCCCCAAACCAGCTGTAGGCTGAACAGGCCGGGCTTGCTTGTCCTGCTCCATCCAAAGACGTACCTGAGAATGGGTGCGGCCACATTCGTCGACTATCAGCATCAAATCTAATCATTCATGGATAGATGTCAACACGAACTCAAGCTAGTTGACCCTACTCGATCAAACCCAAACAGCTGTCAAGCCCCAAAAATCCTCCGAGCGTCTAGGTCTGTGGTTCATCGGCTAGCTGGCGGATCCAAAGGGAAACCAACCACAAAGTGCAGAGAGGACGCACGGATCGGGTCTGAAACTCCGCAACCAAGTTGCCCAGTGGCCAGGGACAACATGGTGGCGACCCTGTTTTGGTGGGTCCCTGACAATGAAAGAGGACGAACCAGGCACTTTCTCGACTCGGACTGAACTATCTCGACTCGTATTGCTGAACTAGGCTTCATGCACCACCCTTCGGCCTTCAAGCAGCACCAAACAACCAAACACCCCCAGGAACTCGAACACCCCCCAAACGACACCCCAACAAAACGCACCTTCACCAGCCCGCCAAGCCCCCAAACCAACAAACCCAAACCCGCACCTCCCCAACACCCAAACATCGACTCAAACACCGAAACCCACCCCCTCTCCCAAACAAACCAGCCGAGAAATTCAAAACCCCAACCACCAAAACCACCCACCACCAACACCACCCACCCCCCACCGCCATCCGAAAGCCCCGAAAGCCCCGAGAGACGAGAGCCGAATCCGAGCTTTGGCATCCGCTATGCTTCCGTGCCATGGAAAAGCCGAGCGCCAACAGGTGGAGCTGCAGGCTTGGAACCTCGCCGCATCGCATCGCAAGGCTTTGGCACGACGAATCCCAGGGCTTGGCTCAGGAAACAACCGGGGGGGGGCTGGGCTGGGCTCCGGGGGCGGCATGTGGATATGGTTGAAACCTTCTGGCTGGGCTGGGCTGGGCTGGGCTCGGGGCTGGGGAACCCCGACAATGGGTTGGTTTGATCGAAAAAAAAAACCTAACATGGGTTTCGGCTTTCCTTGTGGTTTCCTTGTTTATGCAACACACGACAAATGGCACCCATTCGGGTGAGTCGTTTTAAAGACATCCAAAGACATGTCCGATCGTTCCACATGGGGTTGTAAAAAAACCCCGTGACAATTTAGCTGTCCCCCAAACGTGTTATCGTTTTTTTTACTCTTATCGTTTTGCAGGGGTTTGCAAAGTGCATGCTCAAATCAAAGGAAGGCTAGCACAGCGTGCAGTGACTGTAGCTCTGCCAAGAAGCTCAAGCAAGCAAGCGCGAGCAGCAAGCTAACTGGTTTAGTCAGACTCTGCGCTAGAGCTATCACTGTCAGAGCTGGAAGTACCACCCTCATCTTGAGGGGAGGCTTCCCCGCGCAACGCAAGGAGCTGCCGTTGCAGGCGAACCTTGTCGCGGGCTGCCCGGCGCGCCTTGCTCTGTACTCGTTCGTGAAAAGTTTTGACTGGCCGTAGACCATCGGGGGGCGGCCGCGCCTTCTGGCTTTCATGCTTGCGGCACAGCTGGGTGGTGTCTCCAGGGTTCGGCGGCTCAAGTTCCCAGGTCTTCTCTCCTTCCAGGTACGAGCGCTTCCACTCCAAGGGCTCTTCTCTGGTGTGCATCTGGATCTGATACGACATGGCTCCTTCAGCAGGTATTGCGATGTCCGAAAAGACCAAGTTGTGCACCACTGGTTTTTTCGCTCTGCTTGCAGGCTTCAAAGCCATCATGCAATATGTTCGTGTAATCTTGAAGCCAGTAGAGACAAACAAGCCAACTTCAGAAGCGCGATGAGTGCCGAAATCAACCTTCTCGCAAAGCCACCGTGGGCCTTCGGGGTCCAACGCCATTGCCTCATCCGCACCTGCTTTGAAGGCAGTGAGCAAATGGTCCAAGCTATGAATTGGCCGGGGCCATGGCACCCAGCAGGCAAAACAGCACCTATAAGCCCAAAGCCACCTCCACAGCAACATCCGACAAGATGGAAAGGTGCACTTCAAACAACCCCATGAAAGCCCTGTTATCGTTTTTTTTACTCTTATCGTTTTGCGGGGTTTTTTAAGCAAGCGCCATTCAGGGGCACGTCCCTTCATAATTAAAAGGCGCGGGGTTATTTTACAATCCCACATGACATCGCCCAACTGCAAAGAGTCATCCCCCAAAGACACAGTCCCTGTTGGTGTTCCGGGACCCAAAAAAGAACCCACTCATGAGGGGCGTTCATCTGATTTTTGAGGGAGCTGCCAGGACATCGCCCCCTTTTTTCTTGGGGGGGGGGTGTTGAGCCAATTTTTGGAGGAGCTCCAAGGACATAAAATGCAATCCGCCAAAATAGCAGTTGGGAACCACGGATTATGCAGAACCCATGGTTGATGGGTGTCCCATCAACAGAGGAAAACCAAATCACTTTTGGGGCCAACACCCCCATATTAGCAGGACAGGTGTATTGATCCCGCTCAAAAACCAACCAGAGGAGGCTTCCCCCCAAACAAAGTCATACCCATCAATATTGTATGGTACGCCACCCCTGGTGCCCCATGTTTGCTTCATTCAATTTAGCGCTTTGTTTCGAGATATGTACAATTGTTAGACACAAATGGGCACCACGGAAGGGGGGCTGCCATTCCAAATGTTTGTCTTATGAATTCTGAATGCCGGCATATGGACATTTAATATTTGGATCCTGAAAATTTCAACCCCGCCCCCCAAAACACAACACCCCACCCCCACTCCGCCTCACCCCATCCCACCCCAGATTCTGGGATCCGGGCCAGCCAGGGCGGTAGCCCAAGGAAGACCCCGCCAAAGGACGGGTAGGCGCCCTCGAGTGTGTCGCTTTCGCTTTCGCTGTCATCTGCGTTTTGTTCAGGGTGCCCTTGTGGGGCCTGTTAAAAGGGAAACATGAAACCGTTGCCATCTTGGGACTCGAGTTTAAGACAAATCCAACGGGCTTCGCGTGACACGCTAACGGTTGGCTCCTTGATGCCAAGTTCTTAGAGACGGTGGCACGGCGGCAGTGCTTGCAAATGGTTCCATTCAAGTGCTACCATATGTTTGAATGGGATGGCCCTGTTCACTCCGATACTCTGCCCTCTGATGTTGTGAAGGATGCTTCTGATTTCGACGAGAACCTGTCAGCCAACGTCTATGGGGTCTTCGGTATGTCCAAAAGCGGAAATGTACAACTAGAGCGCGGGCCTTCTTCGTTTGTGGTTACCACTATTAGGAGACGCACCCACATCTACTTCAAAGACTGTTGCCGACTCTGAACGGGGAATGTGCTATGGTTGGTTGATATCAAATCCCACCCCTTCGATCCGTGCCCATCAGCAATCAACTTGGTCCGAAACATCCCTCGCGCTGACACGCAACCGATCAGCAGGTTTCTTCAAAGGGCAAATGCCCCAGACCCTCAGCTCACTTGTTGAGTGGATGGGCCAAAACAAGTCTGAACTGCTTATTTACCACTATGGTGCAAACTCCAAAAGCGCAAAGTTCAAGTCCATGAACTCAGAAAGTGAGTAATTGGACAGCAACCCCATGATCCATGCGCCTCTCTCTCTCTCTCTCTCTCTCTCTCTTGCTGCCGTCTGAGTCCCGTGCGTCGCTGCAGCAACTTCCTGCTTGCCTGAGGCCGAAGCAGTCAACAGATCCTATGCCCACCGGGGGCCCCCCTCCTTCCCCATAAGGGCTAGCGACTCACAAGGCCTGTTCGGGGCGTTGCCTGAAAGTTCCTTTTTCTGCCCCCCTCTTTGGGGGTGGGGGGAAGAGGGGGTTGTGACAACCATGGGAATAGAGCCCATTTTCCCTGCCACTACGTTTGCTTTGCATGGCTGTAATTCGCAACCTGTCTAAGCTCTTGGAACGGTGCAGAGATGTTCAACCTGTTGGCTTCTGGTAGTCTCCCAGGTGCAACCACTGGGGGGCTACAGGTTGACCCTGGTTAGCTTTCGTGGACTAGAAACGTCACTGACTGAATAATCAGCTAGAAACTCATGCGGCGAGGGCCGCTTGTGTGAACAACACATGTATACATATGAGTACATATACAAGTCCATATACTATATATATATATATATGTATTTGTATTGTTGTGTATCTGTATGTGTGTATTGTCTATGAATGCTCGGGCGAGAAATTTGTGTGCATATATATATATATATATGATATGAAATATGTATATATATATATAGATATAAGTCAATGTATATACGGGTGTTTCTTTTTGGGGAACCTTCTGTTGGTTGGTTTTAAAGTGACACCGACAGGAAACCAGTCATTTGCGCGCACCCGGCAAAAAAGACACACCCAATATATATATATATATATACATATATATATATATCTAAATATCAATGTCTGCCCGCTTCAGGGATCTTCAAGCCGTCTTGTGCTTTAACCGAAACCACCGGGTCTCTGTGTGCAGTCTGAGGCTTCAGCAGCAGAGCGCTGATGAGAAGATGCTGCAGGGCAATCACTTGCCCGAGCCTCGAGACAAGAACCGGGAACACAACACACCCATTGCCATAAAATCACATCAACCAGAAATGACAAATATGGCTGTGGGTCAAAACCCTGTACCCCTCGTGAACATCAAAATAGGTGGCAAATGGATGTTCATCCACCCCAAAATGGAGCCATAGGTTATGCCCCATGGTCATATTGAGAATGAAAGAAAGCCGCTGAGAACAAACACACAACTTCAACAAAGCGTCAAAGCGACAAGAGAACTACACCAGACAATCTGTGCGGTTAACAGACTGGACGCATGTTCTTGTGCAATATGAAACTCACACAGGACAAGGTTCAAGGGTGGAACCACACGACTGCAGGAGTGTGAGCAGCTTGCTGTTGAACAGATTGGATATTGCAGCTTGGATGAGGAACTCGTGCAATATGTGGACGACCATGCAAGGCTGCGGTCAAGATATTCTCCCATCCACTGACAAACGTCGCAGGGGAGTCCTGGAAGACTATTCTCCTTGAAAAGAGAGGTTCTTGTGGGTTCCATGTTCTTTAGTAGACTGGAGGGCAATCCTCTCAGCAACATTGATTGGTGGAGCTACCATGGGCTCATTGGCCTTGAGACCGAACCGTGAATCAGCCAAAGCTCAGCGACCAACATGTCCATTTGCCAATCCAAGTAGGTGGCTGCGCTGTCTAACTTCATGAAAGCTAAGTTCAACATGAAACCTTAACAACCAAGCTGGTACAACCAAACAAAAGGAATCTGCCACTCTCCTTTTGTACTGCACGTTGCATTTCGTTTGTCCATTCCGTACTTCTCTGCTGGGTCCATGTGGCTCCAAACACATTGTGAGTGGTTCGTTTGCTTCATTGCAAACCAAGGAGTCACTGGCTTTAACACATTCCCCGCTTCCATTGGCCATGGGGAAACAAGGATCCCTTTATCCATAGGTGTCCTTTTGGGTCAAATAGATGGCCCTGGTAGATAACTAAACCACCAGGTAAACCAGGGAAACCCATCTATGTTTCTACCAAAACAACCGAAAAGGACACTTATTCCTTTATCTCGCTTGCCTTAGAGAACAGCAAAACATGTCTGTGTCGATGGACTTGGAGTGTTAGGCAGCATCTTCCTAGGCACCCGGCGCAGTGAATTCTCGAAACCTCACTTCGAGTGACTGCTCTAGACCGTTAGAACAGATGAGTCACAATCAAACCCCGGTATTAAAATGGTCGTAATCCCAGAACCGTGCTTCAAGTATCCGCAGATATTTATGAAAAGGGGAGTGTCCCTTGCTAAACTTCATCTATCCGAGTTTTGATTGTGGCTCAGAGCATCGCAGCCAACGCAAGTCGGCAAGATCCTTACCATGAGCTTCCACACCCCAACCTTCTCACAAAAGCTCTCTCTCTCTCTTCCGAGCTCAAGACTCACTTGAGGATGACATGTCTCGTCCACTGCAAAACAGGAATATTGTGTGAAGGCTATCATTGTGACAAATAGAGTTTGTCGTCACTACCACGTCTCTTTCAGTGTGTAGTCAATTTCTCTGAAGCCTCAAGCGAAACCCTCAGACAACTTTCTGGATCAATGCTTTGCCGTGGATGCAGCTTGCCAAACTCTTCCGTATGTAGTCAACATGTTTGAGGCGTCATCTGATGCGGAATTCCATTGGGTGTGGGATGGCAGGCGCTACAAGACATCGCTCAGTAAAAGGGTCTGCCTCGCCACAAAGGATCAGCGTGAAGGTCCAAACGTTCCTCAATCGATTGTCTGCAGCAAAGCCTAGGCGAAGCATCAGCCTGGCAACCATTCCCGTATCTAGATTGTTTGCTTGGTGCCTGTGAAAATGAAGCGGTCCAGGAGGTACCTGCTGTCTCTTGCGGCGGGTGCTAGCATTTCAGCTTGTTTGCCGTCGTCAAACCCCATTCTGCCTCAAGGCCAACGGCACCACCATGGGCCAGGCGGTGTAAAGGGGAGAGCAACCCGAGGTGGCAAAATTCTGCAACTCCAAAACCCCTAGGAAGGGCATATCATGGTGAGCTCTTTTTGACCAGCTCGCCCTGTAGGCAGATTGGCAAGCTAATTTGTCCTCCAGCTCCCCATTTGCAGAGTAACAAATGTCCAAGTAGCGCAAATTCCTTCCCGCTGACTCAGCTCCGGACCCCAAGTCCACAGTTACAGCAGCTGCGAAGAGCACAAGGACGATCCACAGCGCCTGACCAAATCAAGAGACAAAAGCCCTGGTGGAATGGTTGTTTACAGATATTGACATCCGTTACCATATTGTAGGTACAGTATTGCATGTTGCGCCAAACTAGCAGTTGTCCTGCAACAATCTGCTTCAACATCATTCTAGGTGCCTATCATATTGTATACATTGTATGGTACCCACTTTTTTCTTTTTAGTCGATTTTAGTAGGGGTTTCCCCTCCCCCAGATTTGAGACGTTAGAATAAGGGTACAATTTGTTTCTTGGTCTATTTTAGTCGGGTCCCGAACCCTCCCAACCAAAAAAGGAGGTGAGAAAGGGCACTACTGGGGGACCTAGCATTGCTTTTGCGGGGAGGTTTCCCTTCAGACTACAATTTGGAGGGTAATGTTGGAAATGTGACTTCATGGACCCTGAAATCCGAGTCCTTCTGAGGGTAAAAGGAAAAGGGCACAATTTTGGGAAACCCAGAAAAGAAGGACCTCGCTGCAAGGAGATCCCTCGCTCAGCGCCCGGCGGCAGTGCTGTTCCCAGGATCTTCCCGCCTTGAAGCAGGAGTGAAACCACGCAGAATTTTGCCAAACCCAGTATTTCAATGGTATGTCAATGTGAAAAAAAAACGGTACCATTAACAAACCCGGTGTGTTGATGGTAATTCATCAAAAACGCGGTATTTCAATGAATGGTATTTCATCAAAACCCGGTATTTCAATGGTCTACACAACAAGGCGGCCGCACGCATTTATGGTTGGGATCGTCCCTAACCTTCATTTACCCGGGTTGTAATTGTGGCTCAATTGGCACTCTGAATTCGAGGCCAACCATGTTTGACGGGAACCATTGAAAAGTCCAGCAGTAAACATTGGATAGGTGTCTTCTGGGCACCCGGACAATTGCCATGCGTCATCGCCTGGCGAAGTAAGGCATCCAGTGCTCTTCTCCACACTGCACAGCGAGTTCTGAGATGGTCACAAGTATTCCTTGGCGTGACTAGGATGCCAATTAACAAAAAAACATACAAATACAACTATCTTCTCTCTAGCGACGCATGCCGTTCTTCTTCCATGCCAGGTGGAAACCGAGCAGTGTGAAACATCTTTACGCCTGCGACCAAGCCTTCACCCGTACCGGAAAACCCGAGGCATTGGCATAAAGCTACTGCTTCAGAGTCACCACCAAGAGGCCCCCCTACGCCCCAAACATCAACCCCCTGGTAAGCGTCATGCATGTCAAACAACGTGACATCAGCTGCCTCACAACGTTGCACCATGGAAATTACATCGCTCACTACCTAAGTCTCGCTCCCTAAGCCAGCTTCCGTTCGCTTGGGCAGTCCACCACCCACCACACAATTGCCGGCAGCAATGTGCTTCCAAAATAAGCAGTACAGGCAAACTAAAGTAATAAATGCCCTGCCAGGCTTCATATGGGTGCGCCTGTGTTTGGAGGGCAAGCATTTCTTGGTGGCTTTTCAGGAAAACCAAAAAGGCAACCACCATCTTTTTGCGGGGGCAGTTCCCTAAAAAAATCATCCCTGTGGAGACTGGAAATCGAACATGACGACGGAAACCCAACGCCTGCCAAAACTTCCCGGCGCCCGGGTGAACTAAACATAGACCTGGCGAGCGAGAGCGCGATGTAGCAATATCAGCATTAAAACAACAACAAAAGGTGTAGAGTCCAGATTAGACGGTCCCTCAAACACTCACACACACACACATTGCCTATCTATCCCCTTGTGATTTGTTGTGGGGAGATGATACACTTGTGGGTTCATTGCGGGGGAAACAAAAACGTCTTTGCTGACTATACAAACTGTCCTTCCTCTATTGCCTACGAATTGCTTCTTTGCGATGACATGCCGAACTAAGAGTTGCTTAGCATCTCCCGATATTCGAGACGCAACCTCACCATTCTTTCCAGGAGTCCTTCCCAGAAAAAAATGCAGCCGACTGAGGGTTGACTTGGACAAACCCGCTTGGTACAAGCCTTCGGAACATTAGGCACGGCACACCGGTTGGATTTCTCGAGAGGGACACGCTAAACTCAGGCTTTAGTTCGTTGAATGTCGTCTTGTTCAAAGGGATCCGGCCCGTGCACTTGGATAGCACTTGGGTGGATTTACAAGTGGCCGGTGTGATTTTAAGCCTTGACTGGCCTAACTGAACACGTCCGTCAATAGTCAAGCATAGAGCTGTTGGTCCTTTACTATGGTGTTGACTCATGACACCGCCTATTCGTGCCTATCGGTGCTTTGGCAAAGTCCTGCACCCTGCACGTGACCCCCAAATGGTCACAAACACAAACAAAGGCCGCAAAGACTTTGCTGGGTATGTTGCAAGACCAAGGGCCAGGAGAGGGGCCCGATTTTGAGGGAAAAGCTGCAATCTCGGCACTCGTGATTCAATTCCAGCAATAGCAGTGCTCATCCACAAATGGCAACAGGCCGTTGCCGTTTGCAGTGCAATGGCCCCTTTTGCAGCACATGTTTGATTCCAGCACAACACAAATTCCTTGTCGGAAACAAGTTTGGTGAACTGAGGGCAAGACTACAATGTGCAACTTCAAGAACCCCAGGGCATGTGTAGCCCGTGGAACTCAGCGTCGCAAAGATGGAAGGCGCAAGGAACACAGCAGTTGACTCCCAACCATCAACTTCAGGCTTCTGCCAGAGCGGAGGGTCGGTCATACCAACACCTTGACACAGCCTGGGTTCATCATGCTTCCTGGCTTAGGGTAGTTCCGGCCACTGGTAAGGTAACAACACCTGCAGCTGGCAGGTTCCTCCCAGCACTCGCAGTGTCTATATATATATATATGGCTGTGGCTCAACAAACCGGTACCAAAATGGAATTTTGGTACGTGGAAACATGGAGCAAAACCTGCGTAACCCCTCCTGTTTAATTTTGAGCCACACTCATATCCCGACTGGTGGGTGTTTGCATTTGTTTGTCCAGTATCTCTGAAGCAAATGCGCCAGCGCCACAGGAGGAAGCTCAGGAGCCAAATCCAAATGGCAGCTAAGGCTTCTTGTCGGTGGCTAAGCCTCGATTCGAGGCGCCGGTCAAAAAACGCCGATGCCAGCCACCCAGAAAATGGGTTGCGTCGTCAACACCCGGGGCCTATATGCCCGCCCTCCAGAAACGGGCCCCGTTTTTCAAGCTTCTTACACCCATTCCTCAAGGATCCACTCGATTAAATACCACCTTTCGAGCTGGAACGCCGTGATGGTTTGTCAGAAGACATTCAATGCCAGAAGTTGGCCAATAAGCCGGGTGCAGGATCAAACAACACAAACAGTCAAGGTTTGCACTGTGCAGCCCCCGCCAAGTTTTTGCAACTTGCTGCCCTTGAACAAAACTTCGCACTTTGCCCATTTTCCCAACCAGGCACAAAGCTTTGACAGGTCGAACCCTTCATCTGAGAAATTCCCCTGGTACCCCTTGGTGTCTTAAGAATATGTTTTATTTTCCCGGCTGAACCCCCCAGCTCCCCCGCCAAAAGTCCATCACTTTGGGTGGTTTAGTGGAAACCACAGGGATCCTTACATACACCTGAAAATTGCAACTTGTAAATGGTGGTTTCCAACTTTATTTTCGTGGACAGTGGAAAAGCCATGTTTATTGCAACTTGTAAATGGTGGTTTCCAACTTTGTTTTGGTGTTGAAAAAGCAACATGTGTCAAATGGTTGACAACATGTATCTTTTGAGGAGCCCTGCACCACTAAACCCTACAACCCGAAAAACAAATACACAATAAAAGGAAAAAAAAAAAAAACGAGCGGAGCTGGGAACCACGAGAGTATGTGTCTGCTGTGTGCTGTACCCGTTCCCAGCTTCTCAGCTGCAGGCTTAGTCTTCCAGCTTGTCAGGAGGATTACCTGCGACGGGATCTAATCGGACACACCCAGACGCCGTTTCGGTGGGAAAAAGAGCTCATCTGGCTGGGGACAGCTAGGCTGGGGACATCAGTCTGCATGGGATTGCTGGGAAACAAAGCATTCTGACGTATTCAGCGCTCAGCGTTTCCGCCTGTTTCCAGAATAGAACCCGCCCCCAAAACATCGGAGCAAGGATCCATGTCGCCCGCTCAAAATGTCCAGCTTCAACTGCAGCTGTGTTGAGTGCAGTCCGGACAAATAATCAAGCTGGCACTGCGCGTGGCACGTGCGCACCCAAAAGATTGGATGTAACATAATGCAAAGTTGACGTCAGCACGCGTCCAACAGACCAATTAAACCCGATTTCCTAAAAAAACAAAAACAACTGAGGGATGAGGAAGAGGCATCATGCTTGAAAGACTGTCATTGAAAAAACGAGGCTTCGTTGCGTGTCTTGCCGATCTCATGTTGTACAATGTTGGCCTTGGGAACCCCACACACTTTTTCGGTTTCATTTCAAACGAACAACCGCCCCGCCTCCCCCCCCCAAAACACAAACACATATGCAAACCAAAGCAACACAAAAACTGAGTTGGGTCAACAGCATTGCCAAAGTGTTAAACTGGACAGAGTTCCGTATATTTGACCCCTGCAAGTATCACCAACACAACCCACAAATGTCCTTTGAACCATCCAAAGAGGGAACGTAGCCCCGTACGGCAACTCTTCTCGAGCGCCTGGTGTAGCAAGAAGACCGTCACCAGAACCACGCTCGCCACGACGGGCTGGGCGCGCGAGGAGTTGGAGAGCGGGAAGCACTCAAAGATGGCAATGGGGTCATGCAACGCGGAAAACTGAGGGATTGAGGGTACCACGTGAGCAGTGTTCTATTCTAAACCCAGCTGCGGCCGAAGAGAAATATCAAGTCCCTTCCGCGAAGGCTTCCGCGGAGCTTGTGCAGCATGAAAGGTTCCTTCCGCAAGAGGCTTTGAAGAGGGAATCGCTTCTGCGTCGCTTCCGCGGATTGAGAAATGGGATTGACGTTTGTTTTTGCTTCCGCGCGTGAAGGAAAACTACAATTCCTTGCTTTCGTGATTGAATCGTAGCCCTTCCGCGAAGTTTCCGCAAGTACATAAATGAGAAACCCTTCCGCGAACCTTGCGCGGTGCTTCCGCGACCTGGGAAAAATCAACTTTTTGAAAACGATATTTCCTCCCGAGTACCACTTTCAAGTGCAGGGGTTATAGAACGTCGCTCACGTGTTGGTGGCTTTGCAATTATTCCTCAACCGAACCACTATTTTGGATTTATTTCGACACATACCCATATGCGCCTTGACCATGAAACAAACATGGGGGGAGAAATCTCATGAGCCACATGGAGCTGTCCACAGTCACACCACACATTTCAAAAGTAAGCGATCATCATACTTTGCTGTTTATACAGAAAACAAAAAGCGGGCAAGCAAGTTGCAATCGATGAATTGAGTAACCCCAATGCAGCAAAACGGGTTCTTGAAAAGGCACATCAAACCACCACCTGCTTTCAGGGGCCACTGGATTTCCCTTCAAAACCTCGTGGCTTCCGCTAAAACGATCGCCATGTTTGCTCGGAAACCACCGAGCAAAAGGGGACCTTCTCGACTCGCCGAATCCATCCGAATCGACGAGCCCCTTGCCAGAACTGGCCAGGCTCCACCAGCCTGAGTGCAACGCGCGAGAGGCGGCAAGACATGAGAAAAAGGAAGGGCGAGTGCCTAACCCGGTGCTTCCAGTTACCAGTATAGTAGGTAACCAGGGGAAACCAGGATGTAAAAACTGGTAAGAATCCCTGGTTATCTACTGCAGTGGTAACTGGAAGCACTGGGTATATACAAGGGGCTGGAGAAGTGCAAACACCACTCTCCCATGACCACACCAATAAGAATATAAGGGGGCCCAATATGATTGCAAACATTGCCACAACCCCGTTCTAACTCTTTTGGCACGCGAAGAAACAAGTTGCGCAGGTCTCGGGCATGACATCAACGTCAGGCTTCCATGCTGAGGCCTGGGACACGCCCTGGTAGTTGATCTTGAAGGGAACCCGGAAAAAACAACAACACGACAACACAACAACGAAAACCACAGGTGTTACCGGGCAACTCGGTCAAGGGTAGTTAGTTCACCATCCATGGTACGACCCCAGAAAAAAAACCGGGCCTAAACTGGTGGTGAAATGGAATGGAGTCGTTCACGGGCGAGGTTGCCCGGGATTCTTCAAAGGCGTCTTGACAAAGGGATGATAGTGTCTCAGAGATGAATATTTGGTTGGTGACACAAAACGTATCCGATGACTGGACATACTGCATGCGTCTCTCCAATTCGCCTACCGTTTGAGCAATCGCATCCGATGTGGCCATTGTCTGAGTCGGTCATACTCCCCTTAACTCAACATATGGGAAGATGCCCACCCCTGTTGGGTCTGTTTTTTCAGGGTACCCGTTCTCGGTGGTTGTAAAGGGAAACCAACAGGAAAGGCATCACTTTTCGGGGGTGCCCGGACAAGAAGACGGACGCATTTTGACCGGAGGCAAAGCAACATGACACGGAAGACATTTGGCAAGACACGTGCTTAAGCCTTTGGGCCTAGACGGCAAACTATGGGATGGCAGCATCTGAAAAATGAGGAACTCCAGGGAATCACGACCACAAAAATACGAGACCTTGCAAGGTGGCACGATCTGACTGCTCCAAACAAGAACCTCTTACAACCTGTCAACCCGTGTCTGACACCTCAACCACAACCCGCATACTTGAACACTTTGCAAATTATACTTGGGCAAGCAACCCCCCTAACCCCAAAAAAATGTGTACAACCGAACAAATCCTGATGTCAGCCGCCCGAAGGACCCAGAAAGCAAAGCTGAACCTTTTGGAACCTTGACAAAACATGGGCAACGAGGGGAAACTGGGGAAACTAAAAGGTGGGAAGGTCAATTCGCGTTGGGCAAGTAAGTGAGACAAAAGCGATCGGCGCCTTTGCGCTTCCTTGGGCACGGCGTAGCTCATCCCATTGGGATCCCCGAGGTCCGGGCAGGATGCGCTGCAAAAAGGGCCAGAAGGACCACCAGTCCCCACGCAGCCGCGACCTGATGGCCAGTTGAGCGATTCTAAAAACGAGGGGGGCTTTTTGACAACTCATCACATGCGTAAATGAGTCCCGGTGGCTTTAAAGGTCTACAAAACAAAAAACTATGCATCAGCATTTGGCAAATTGACAAAAAGGCCAGCTGCCAGCTCATGCTCCATCTCAGAAGGATGTCAAACTATTTGGAGAAAAAAAGATCACATATATGACAATGTGTGATTCTAAGGTTGTCCCTCATAGCGGACTAGTCTCCAAACCCTTCCACATTGCGCAGTTTCATTGTTGATATCTTTGAAGAATATGTGTCTTCTTTCGAGGATACCCCTTTCGGAGTGGTTTTAAAGGGACATCAACAGGAAAATCACCATCAGGGTGCCCTAAAAAGACACACCTTATGCAAAAACCCTTGTCTTTTGGGGAATCCACTCAATGCAATTCTTCTTCTTCTTCGCCGTCTCCAGCTTTGCATTGCATCCAGGAACTATGACACCATCCCCAACAGAAAAGCTTGGGTCTTGTGCGCGGGGTTTGCCGTCTGACCCGTTTGCAAAAATACAGAGATCGCCTTCTCAGGAATTTCTACCCCTTCAAGTCCCTTTTCCAACCAACAAGCTGTCAAACACCTTCCATTTGAAAACATGCACATAGTCATAGATCTCCTTAAGCACATGAAAGACATATTCGGAGCGCATGGAAGACAAGGTGAGTCAAAAGCAAATCCAGGTATTCAAATGGTTTACCCAAAGCCATGTCGTAAAGAACTGCACAGGCGGATATCCCCTCCAAGCACCCGAATCGGTTTTGAGCAAGTGACTCGGTGTCAAAAGCTGACGACTCTGCAAATATCACAATAATTCCAAAACCCGAACTAAGAATTGCATTCCCAAGTAAAGGATCGTTACCATGGTGAGCTCGTTTTACCCCCAGATGAGTCACAATCAAAACCCGGAATTAAAATGGTCTACCCAGAACAATGCAAAACAAGGCGGCCGCAGCTATTTATGGTTGGGATTGTCCTTACTAACCTTCATCTTCCCGGGTTTTGATTGTGGCTCAGGTGAGCTCGCCGTAAAATATGCAGAACGACTGGTCTGGGTTGGCGCACTGCTAGCCCTCCCCGCTCGCTCTCCAAGGAGGAGTTGTCCCAGGCTGCCTACGGCACGCGCGTTGTGAGCGCGAACGGACGCTCGGACGACATCGTTTGGCTCCATGGGAGTTTCTACACCTGTCTCACTTCCCAATTGGATTGGACCAAAAAAGTCTAAACTTTTTGTTTACCACTAAAATGCTCTTCTTCGAACATTTTGAAGTCGAAGCACTCAGGAAGTGAGCCTATGGAGTTGGTTTAAAAGGAAACCAAAACGAAAGCCACTCTTGCGGGTGACACTGATATGTATGATTCTGACCCCAATTTCTCAACCAGGTTTGTTTACGCTGTTGACAATTCCCTCCTGTCCACCAGCGTGGAACCAACCAAAGGGTCCCTTTTAAGGAAAACAATCTTCCAGGACCCCTCAGTCAGGTTCCATAAAAGTGGACGGGAGGTAATTCCAAGCCTAGGTAAAGGACAATTCTGGTCAGCTTCCAATGCTCGATAGTTACTACACGTCTTTCTGAAGGCCCCAACTCAACATGGACCAAATGCAAGGGTTCCATGCAACATACCCGATCACAACGGCTGGGCTTGCAATTATGGTCGTGCTTTGTTGCGATGGTGAGGAAAGCAGCGCATGTGCTCACGGCGACATCGGTATTGTGGATGGACAAAATTCTGACACCAGTTGATAGGTGAATCGTCCCGGTACTCCACCCACTTGCGCATGTTTTTGCCAATCTACAGCACTGGTTTTGGTAAACGCACTTTTGCACCAATGGTCTTCTGGTGAAGCCGATTCAAATCATAGGGCTGATGTGAGTGTGCCCCGCTACCAACTAGTGTCCTCATAGTGTGCTTGATCAAACCACCGACAATCAGGGAGTGCCACGGGGGCCACAGCTTGCAGCCGACTCATATGCATTTTCATGCATCTATATCAGGAATATGCATGTATCATATCACGGCTTTCTGCTCCCCTGCTAAAAGTTTAACAGTTGGTGGTTTAGTGGAAAACCCATTTGTTGGCAAAACAAGTTAAAGTCCTAACATCCAAGCAATATGCAAGAAAGATACAAAGTATCGCTGGGATAGGACCCCAGCAGTATACACTCACATTGGTGTGAGTCTTACCCTCCCACCAATGGACATGGAACCTGACAGGGGGGGGGGGGGTCAGAAGACATCAGATTTTGTTTGGTGGGGATTAAGGTCCACCAATCGCTTTTGACCGAGTTCCGCGGGCTAAAATGCACTGCCACATACTGTGGGTGGACGAAATCCTGCACCAGCTTGAAACCATGCAAAAACCATTGTCTGTTTGTATGTACAGGGGATCGTATCATTCCAGGGTCTCTCTTAGGTGGTGCAGAATGGAGTTCGCAACCATCCACAGTACGTCCCCAGGAAGGAGGGCCTTGGGAAACACCGGCTCGGAGGCCTCCTCTTTCGCTGGCACCACAATGGGTGTGCTGACCGTGCCCTCCTGGCGGCTCGCAGAGTCGTTGCCTCAAAAATTATCGCCCCCATGAATTGGGACAGGTGCGTACTTGATGAGTAGTGTGTACCCTTTTTCGGGGGACAAGTCCAAAGGAAACGAGTGCGGAGCAAAATGAAACAAAAGAAAAGCAACACCGAAACAGTGTAGGGGGCTGGAGGTTGCCTCAATAAAAAGACAGCCGCCTTTCACATGGTCTCTCCTCGCTCCAAGCAGATACAGTTACTACTAACTTGCCCACTTGCCTGAAAACCTGGAAAACAAGTTGTTACGTTCTGGGACTATGGCTGCACTCACCGGCACGCGAAAACCACAAGAGTACGCCTATGGATTTGCAACCCCGTCCAACCTTCATGGTGATAGCGTAGGCAGCAAGTTGTCAAGTGTCCAACATCCCCAACTCGCGTTGCGAGCTGAGAGCATTGCAAAGCAGGGTTGTGAAAACTACTCACTTCCCAAAATATCTGAAAAACCAGGAACTCGGTCGGATCAACATGTTTAACCTATCGGTTGTGGTGAACAATCGCTGTATCGATGGCCACATGATACTAAGAGTCCAGAAAACCAATGGAAGAACATGACAACATACCCCGAAGCACTTATCACTCACTGCTGTAGCAGCTACGAGGGGCAAGCTTCAAACCTGCCAAAATGTCGCGCCTCTTTGCGCGGCGGACATCTCGAATTGCTTCCAAGCGGGTGGCTTCGCTTGGGTTGGGCGAAGCGGGACATAGAACAAAGAACCGGTGACATGGCCCATTCACTCTGCCCATGTTGTCCCTTTACTATCGTAAAAGAAGACTCCAAGTGTCAACATCGGGACCTCAGAAATGGCAGCTCTCCTTGGTGCAACGCCCAACACACAAACCCAAACGCACTCACAGGATAAACCAAACAACACTGGACATGTTCAAACTTCACCATGGGCTTTCCTTTGCCTGGCCTCCACTGATCCCCTGTGTAAGGTCACAAGTTCTAAGAGTTCCTGAGGCACTCTTTCTCCGAGTCTCTTAAACGGGGTGTAAATCAACTGGGTGAGGTTCTCAATCTAGGGCTTGAGTGATTGCTCATGCTTTTCAACCCTTCTTTTTCCAAAACCCACAATCCCCTGAATTGTTGCTCCTGATGGAACACAACGAGAAGTTGCCCCTAGGCAGAAGGCGACCCAACGCCGCACAGACCACCAAAGCAAAGGAGCAGCTCCATTCAGGGGTATCTGCATTTGGGGCTGTGTGACCATGGCTCCTGTGTTCTAAGAAAGCAGGCTCAACAGTGGCCCAAACAGAGTTGTTCAAAGTTCAAACCCGGCAGTCAGAACCACGCATTCCCATGTGAACATTGTCCCAGTGAAACTCATTCAACAGCCAATAAGTGAGGTTCAAAGCACAAATTGGTGACTGGACGCCGGGAGACTTCGCTGAGGGCCCCGGCGTTTAAATTCTGCAGTGGGATCTTCGGCACGCGGCCAGCCTGTGACAGACAGAGTGAGGGCCAAGCGGTGGCCAAAAGAGGCCCTCAAAGGCCATTGGAAAGGCCTCGAGTTCTGAAACTGGGCAACTGGTGGTTGGTTGAGGAAAGCCAAGAAGTCAGTCCGTGGCCGGTTTTAGGGCAGTTTTAGGCTGGTACCAATGCCATTCTTGGGAAAACCGGACGGAAGTAAAGAGGTAATGGCTTCCAATGGCAGTCTAAAGAGCTGTAAGGGACATCGGACGTTCGCAAGACAATTCCAGGAATTCTGGATGCAAAAGAGAACAGATCACGCCCCTCAGAATGACTCTTGCTTTTATGTCACAGCCGCAATTGATACTCAGCTACGGCGAGGCCAACAAGCGAACTGGTCGACAATGTTGCCATCTCTTTTCAACGACTACGCCTGTCTCCAGGCTCCGCAGAAGCCACAGCACAAGGCGAACCTCTTGTTCAAATGTTGTGCACACAAATCTTATCGACCCGACATATCTAGCTTTCCTGCGCTTCGGTCATATTGCCTTCTTGTAAAGTTCACATTCCCCTGACTGTTGTCTTCAGATATTGTCGTTTGCTACTCACCTTGGTCGTGATCATAAACCGTTCTTGCTCTCCCCTGGTGATTCTCATGATTGCTCTTACACTTTACTGTAGTCGTTTGAAGAGAATCAGCCAAAAACAAACAATCTCGACTGCCTTCAATGCCGGGGACAAGAAAAGCGTTGTTTCATGCTCTCATGCTCCCTCCACTCATTGACTCTGACTGGTACCAATCCCAAGTACTGTACTTCCATGCCATCCAACGAACGATTCTGAGTTGGCCGAAACAGATCGAAGTTGCTTGCCCTCCGGACTGCACGAGGGAGATGCCTTCTGAATCCAGCCAGTGGTTGAGCCTGTGCGCTAGAGCGACTGACCCGAACATCTCAAGAGGAAGGCTGTTTTCCAGTACCGTCCCCGCGCGCCAAATACGAGACATGTCTGACATGCATGGTTTCGCCAGCCATCCACACCACCAGTCCAGTCAACCTGGGCTTGGATCCCCAACCCCCCAACTCGGACTTCAAACAAACCTAGAACCAAACGGAAGCCCTCTGAAACTTTGCGTCCAAAGTGCCACGTTTTGCTGAGCAAATCTCCCCCAATGGATCCGTGCGGCGTGCCTTGCTCGTATCTGAGTTCTCAGACACGGGCACCTGCCATGGGGGCTTCAGCGAATCATAGCCTCGGAGCCCTTTGCTTAGAGGCAGAGGAGAAAAGAAACCCAACCATTCTTGGGGGCTCCCCCCCTCCCCAGCGGTTCTGAAAAAATACAACAAGATTTGCAAACTTTTGGAAATCCTTGCGGATCTCAGTGTGGGAGCGGACCTCCATTTTGTTGCGGGACAATCCAACAGCATTAAAGCAACATCTTGGCAGACTCAATAATCTGAGTGAGCCCTGGCAAACAACACAACCGAACTAGATACTCTCGCGACCCCCGGCCCTATTCCCGCCCCAAACACGAATCAAGCATCATTGGCCCCTGGCTCCGCAACCTTCCTGAGAGGCATCCTGCACATTCATTCGGTGACCCTTCGGCTCTAACAACACATGGTTTCTGAGATGCTCCAGACATACTTGTCCTTTGGCGCAGGCGATCGGAACCCCAACCTTCAAACCTGCAAACCACCAATTCAAACTCCCAATTGAAGGGACGCTAGATTTCCAGGAGAGCGTGTACCTGCCCCCGGGTCCCTGAAACGGCTCTTCGGCTAAGTTCCTGGGCCTTTCCCCAACCACAGGTATCTAGCTTATGAGGGTTGCTTTTGTATGTGCAAGTGCAGTGTTCACTCAAAACACCACGTGACCTCTACCCGACGAAACAACACATCTACAAAAGTGAGCCCAGCCCAGGCCCCCGAAGAATGTGACGGCGTTTGACCCCCGACCGCCAGGAATGAGCTCGTGGGCCGCTAGGCCATGATTCAACACCAACACTCACTTCCTGAGTGGATTGGCCCAACAAACATCCAAAAGCTTGTTGGTTTACCATGTTTTTTACCACTAAAATGGTCCAATCCCAGAAAACTGTAAACGTCCAAAATTTGATTCACCATGTTTCCTACCACTAAAATGGTCCAAACCGAAAAAACAAAAAAAAAAAGGCTAAAGTGCAGGACCCTGGGAAGTGAGAACATCGCCTGGCCGTGCGTCTGCCACTCTGCCGCCCTCTGGGGCACGGGCAGGCGACATGACCACGCCCAGTTTGTAGGTGGTGTTCGGCCTGGCGGCTGCGTTCCATGCGACCCGAACGCCCGGCCCAAGAGGCCTGCGAGCTTAAGGCTGCGAGCCTGGGGGTTTCGAACGAAGCCTATCGGATCTAGGACCTATTGAACCCAAGGGGTTCTCCATGAACCCAAGGACTCTAGCAAACTTGGATTCATCGGGTCCAGGAACTTCAGGGGTATTGAAGGGATCGTCATGGAATTGGCACCAGCCCAGCTTGCCTACCTCGCACAAAAAAAAACAGATGTAGCTTGATGTATGGATCTCTGGGTATGTCTGCATAGCGGGATGCGGCTTTTCACTTGTTGCTTGTTGTTTGTGTATCAACAATTCACAAAGGAACACCCTTGGAAGAAAAGAGGAATATCAAAACACTCGAGGCTCCCTGAGTTTGGTTCCCGCCACCTTTGAATGGATTCATCAACCCATACGTACAGTGTTGGTGTCTGTGATACATCCACCTTGCTAATGTCTAGCCCTGACTAAAGCTATGCCAGCATGGGTGCGTTTTAGCTTAGTGATTGCAACTGTCTGCTCGCAAATCCGAAAATGCCCCAAGTTCGCGAACCACTTCCGTGCCTGAAACAACTTGCCACCACTGCCTATCCACGAACCCAAGTCCGCCAAGGGGGTCACCTCAATGGAGCCCCAAGCAGATTCCTCCCGACTCTTGGGGGCTCCGTGTCCTGAAGGGAAGCAAGCACTAGCTGAGTGCGCCCGCCGAGTGCTGAGTTCTTTGCTCTTTTTTTCTTGGCATTCGCACCATGCGCACAAACACCCTGGCATCGAGTCTTGCATTGGGTCAACCACAAATGGCTCGCTTCGGTCTCCAAATCCCTGGCTTCAGAAACCCTGTCACCCCCATGTCTGTTTCCAGAAGCAGGGGTACCCGAAAAAACTTGGAGGGGGGAGGGGGGGGGGCGCCCTCTTGGATTGCTGGACATTCCGCTTGGCCCAAATTTGGGGGTTTTCCAAAAGCAGATGTTCAGATTCTGGTTCACCATCCTTCTGGAGACCCCCGTTCTGAAAGGCAAAATTTAAGACGCGCAAAGAGCCCGAAGAGTGTCGATGGAGGTCTTCCACTTTTTGAAAACCCAACAAACATGCCTCGGTTGCTTTCTGTTCCCCTGCTAAAAGTTTAACTTTTTGTGGTTTAGTGGAAAACCCATTAGTTGGCAAAAAGTTAAAGTCCTAACAGCCAAGCAAAATGCACCAAAGATACAACATGGGAACCTCTGGATTGAGAACATTCGCCCATCATAGGGACCTCCTTGGATAGAATGGTATCATATCCACATACTGCAATCCTGCAATCCTCACTGCGCTCAGCGCATCCCCGCCTTGCACCTTCGCCAATGGCCAGCCTCATCTAAGATGGGCGTCCCATTGGAGCCGTGCGCGAAACGCGTTCGCGCGCCAACCGACCCAATGGAAAAATCAGACCTGCGGCGACTGAGCTGCCGATCTTCGTGTCGCAAAGGACTGGGTGGGTAGACGTGAGATTTCTGCGGCTGATATCCCGGTGGACGCGAATCGCCGTGGCTGAGCCGAAATGGGCGGAAGCCCAGCGAGCGGAATGATTGGGCTCCGGTGGCACAATGCCGTTGTGGGTGTGTCTTGGTTGAACCTTCTTGGCTGGACTTAAAGCGAAACCACAAGGGAAAACCAGCTCTCTCTTTTTTTTGGGGGGAAGGCTATTCCCGCTACAAAGACCCACCCTTTGTTATGTGAGTAGGCCAAGGTGATAATGAAACCAAAACGGAGCACTGGATGGAATGGGCCTGTGTTGATTCCCACGGTCTGATCCATCCCACCCCAAAGATTTGTCAGAAAGCATGGCGACCCGATTCATCCACCATAAGTCCTGCATTCCGGCGCTTCCACAGGCTATAGTAGGCAACCTTCCGTGTTTCTTACCAGGTTTTAGGTGTCCCTTCGGTTTTACTGGTGACTGGACTGATCTGGGCAGGATGAACACTTGCCAGAACTGAAATGATTGGAAGATAAACGCTCTATTGCAGGCATCTGCGTATTTGCAACCATGCCTCAAGAATTCACACATCTACCTGGGCCTCTTGTGCAAAACAAGCTTCCTCTTGTTGTGTCTCGGTTCGCAACCTTGGGAGGGTCCTTCAATTTGTTTCAACCAGCAAAACCGTGGCTGGCAGAAACCGCCCGTTGACTGCCAATCGTATGAAGGTCCGGCCCAATTGGGGCAGATCAATCTTCCTGGCCCCGAAATGACCATGGGTAACTGTTTTGCCAATTAGTGCGACATATCATCTTAGTGGTTTCCTCAATGGTCACCCATTGTTTAGGACCTTTTGATCAACCCCCAATTGTCATCTTTGTTGCTTTTGCCATTTAGTGCGACAGATCCTCTTTGTAGTCGTTTCGGACCTTTTGATCAACCCCCAATTTGGGGAGCTGGGGCTTTTCAAACTGGCACCCTTTGTCACCGCCAGACTGGGTCCCTCCCCAAAACGGGGCCCATTCAGGGCCTGTTGACCAGACCTCTTGAGCCTCCGGAAAGCCGAACCGCCGACCGTTCTACCACTGAGCCCCAGAAGTTCTACTCTCAAAGTTGGGGTCTGTCTCCAAAATGCGTTCCCGGGCCTTGAGGGGGTAAGGTTTGGGGTAAGGTTTGGGGGGGTAAGGCTTGGGGGTAAGGTTGGAAGTTGCTGGTGGGGGTAAGGTTTGGGGGGGTAACCAACTTCCACCCGCTTCAAAAATCTGTACAAGGAACAAAAAGCACACACCCAGTTGAGAAGCCCAGCAGGCCCCTTGTTGAGGCGTTTGATGCCGCTCAGCTGTGATGACAGGCGGAAACGCTGTTGGCACAAAGGGGAGTGTCTGTATGTTGAGGGTACCCCTTGTTTGTGCGGAAAAAAAGAAAGAACAAGTGAGCCAAAAGAAAGACCGCCCTGAAAAAAGACACCCTCAAGAAAGGACCTCAGCTTTGCATGACCACATGTCTCCTTGAAAATGACCAAGGGTGAAACCGAAAGCAGTATCATTGCTGTAACCCAATCCACTCCCTTATGTTCAGGCAAACCCATTGGACAACGCAACAAGAGCGCAACCAAAGAACAACTCCTAGTTTTCAACCGGACAGTGGCAGCGAATCAGTTCAATCAGTTGCCATGTCCTGCCACAAGCAGTCAAAGAGTCCATCGCTCGTCAATACTTTGTGTTCTGCAAGCTGCTGATCAAAATTCTACAACACCAACTCGGATTAAGGGATCGGGACAACAAACATCCTCACCATGGAACCGCCATGCATCCCCCTTCAGCTGTTTCCTCAAATGCAGTTTGTGCAGAAGGACCACCCTCTCTCCCTCCCTGTCTTTTGGATGAGCTGAGTGAGGTGCGAATCCTTCTTGGGGACCCAAAAGTGGAGGATATCACTTCCACTGGGGGCTTTAGCCATACCTCAATGAAGTGAGTAAAAACGGCCAACTCATTGCACGAGTCCAAAACTTCTCCATCAAGCAATCGTTGCCAAATGTTCGCAAGACCCGGGCAAGAACGCACCCCACCTGCTTCTTGAGCTTGTTCACCAGGCGGTCGTCCTAACAGGACGTGTCGGCCCGACAAGTCCCCAGTGCTCCTTCCGATAGCCGTCTTTGGCATGGCCGCTTTATATATGTGCTTCATTTCCTTAGTCGTGCAAAACTTCCCGTCCCTCAGCACAGGGAAGCCTTGTTTGCTCTCATTGCTGCGCTGTGGTTTCCAGGCTTAACAAGTTACGTGTAATCTGTGCGCCAGAACTACCCACGTATTCTGGGTGTAGTACCTTGATTTGGCAAGTGTGTGTGTGTGTGTGTGCGTGCGGCAAGTGTTGTGGAACTTCTACCATCTCGATGGCTGCCACGAGAACACGAAGAGGTCCGCACGTTCAGATTTGACATGTGCGTGTACTTTTGATGTCCCAGTGGATCCAGTTGCCACTATTATGGGTAACCGATCGGGTTACTTACCTCTAGGTTTTGCATCATGGTTGCCCCTTGGTTACCTACTACAGTGATAACTGGTGTTGAAACAAGGGGTCTCCATGTGGTTTCAAACCACTTTTGGAGGGAGCACCCCCTATTGACTGGACGGATCAACATTATGCTTTTTGAGGGTAGCCCTGATACGGAAGCCAAAAATCAAAACCACATTTGTTTGGCTAGACAAGAGGGTGCAGGGGACAATAGTTTGGGTCGCGCTGGGCTTTTCTATCCCAAAATAGAAAGGAGCTAGGAACTGACTTTGCCTGAGCTCAAGCGGCCGCATGCAGGGAATTCCAGGCGGATTCCGGGTGGGGGCTTTTCCAACTCCAAAAGGAGTAACCCAGCTCGTCAAAAAGCATCAACCATCTTTTCAGGTCGCTTTTGAAGGGCCCTGACTCTTCGTGTGGAATCAACAAGTCCGTGGTTGGGTGCGTATCCCGGGCGAAGTGGGCGAGGAGGTCCCTATTTTTTGGAAACACTCGAAAAACACGTTCTTTGGGGACAAGGGCTCACCCCAATCAAATCAACCAGGGTTTCTTCAGCTTCCCTCTAATTGGTGGTTTGGATTGGTGGTTTGGTGGTTAAGGAGGGGTTTCCATTCAAACCCTCTACAAAAGCCAGGGGTCGAAGTCCACCAATCCAAACCACAAACTACCCTCCCTCCCACTAAGATGACCCTCCCTCCCACTAAGATGGCACTCCCTCCCACTAAGATGGCACTCCCTCCCACTAAGATGGCACTTGACAGGGATGCTTCAAACAAGTACCTTTCCAGGTACCTCCTCACAAGTGCCTTCTGTTAGTGGGAGGAAGGGAAGAGTTACTTGAGCTCTGCTTGACGTTGACCCCCTATCAATCAACCCCAGTTTATTTATAGGGGGTGCTTCTCCCTGGGTGAAATGTGGTTGGGGAATTTTGACCACTTTTGGAAGGGCCAAAACCACCCCCTCTATTAAAATAAACAAGGGTTGGATTATTTTTCTATGGGGTCAACATTAGTTGGTGGTTCGGATTGGTGGTTTGGATTTGGAATTCAAGCCAACTGGCTTTTGTAGAGGGTTTGCATGGGAAAAGCCTCCCAAACCACCACCAAACCACGGGGTGTCCCCAAATGTAAAAAATGTGGTTGGGGAATCTTGACCACTCTTGGCGGGGCAAGAAAACAAGCCCCCCCCTTTCAATAAACTGGTTGGTTGATTGGTCTAAGGGGTCAACATTGATCCGCAGCTCCACCCATCCGCGCGCCCAACAACTCGCCTCCAAGGCCTCCTCCACATCCTCCACTTGATTCTTCCGCCACGCCCTGCGCCCCGGCCGACCCGGGCAAAACGAGAACGATTCATGGCGCAGCGGGACACATTGGCTTCGGCTGCTCCTTGGTGTCTGCCAAAAGCACAAAACTCGGTACCCTCCGAAGAAAACACCCAAATGGGGTGTGTCCCAAAATGGTTGGACATTTAATTTATGTGGGAAAACGGGAACACAAAAGAAAACTCGCTACGCTAGCATCCAGTGAGCCTGAATGAGGCCTCGGGCTCATTGGCCTTTTGGGTCCGCGACCAAAACAACAAAACCACCATTTCGGGCTATCACTCGAGTAAAAGGTCGCCTTAGGACAACTAAGAGGGTACTGTATCCCCCTCAAAGTCATTTCGGCTCCCCCTATGCCAGGACAAAAAGTGGTTGCTTTTGAGTCAGATCCCCGGCAGCGTCTAACCCTCACGGAGCCTCTTGGATGGCTTCTTCCCGGGTGTCACCTGCATGCAGGCTCTAGGGCCCAAAACAAAAACAGGAGGGATTCGGTTCCGTGACAACTTAATGAGGAGTTTAGTTGTGGCTTATGTTGGGAAAAAGCACTTCCAGGAATAACATTTGTCCGGTAAACAACGAAGCCTGTATCACTCTGTGGACAAGGCTTGCTACTTCTGGTCAATCTATTGCCGTGCATCTCTATGGAGAAGCCACGTGGAGTAGTGCGAAGCTCGCGCCCATCCCCAGCTGGGAAAACGAGCGAAGAAAAACCAAATCATTGGCTGCGACAAACATGCAATCCCCTCTGCTCCGTGACTTCATCAGGCCCACCTGCTTGCCCTTTTTGCCCGTGGCGTCCTCAGGTGCTTTTTCGCCGGCGTTGGGGCAGGTCAGTGATGAAAGCAAAATACACCAAAGTGGGTGTGTCTTCTTCGGACACCCGAGCTGGTTGTGGCTTCTGTTGGGGGAACCGCATCTATGAATCATGTTTGGCCTGAGGTAAACAAACCAGCCCATTTCTAGGCAAGATTGCCATGCATGCATGTTGGTGCAGGAGCCAAGTCAAGTTGCGCAAAGTATGTCCATCCCCTCCAGCCAGTGGGAAAAGGAATGACCAAAACAATCCAAATCCCGGCTGCCACAAAAGCTAACCACCCACCGCAGAGCAGCATCACGCCCGGCATTCCATGACCGGCCCACCTGCTTCTTGCCCTTTTTGCCCGCCATGACCTCGGGTGTCACTCCCTCGAACTCGCCATCTCTCCAACTCGCCTAGCGCAGCCCACGGTATATTAAACAAATCTTCGCTGGCCCTTAGCGTCGGGAGTTCCTCCGTCTCATCCTTCATTCGCAGAAGTGTATGTGAGAGTCTCCCGTGTGGGTTTTGGGGTCCCTGGCCTATGCTAAAAGCGTGATAGCGGTTCATCTAAAAAATGGCTGCGTGCCAGGTACCAAGCAGAACTATTGGCCACAAAGCCAAGCGCCGCGCTCCCGAGTCTTGGCCCAAAGAACTGCTGCATGAGCCCAAAGACAGATGCACACCGGGCATGGCACGACAGCAGCTCGTTACAGAGGGACGAGCTGACGTTTCAGCAGCGACTTGAGGAAACCACATGTGGTTGCGTGTTTCAAGAGGGCAACCTCTCTCCCCGCAACAAACATGCTGGCTTCATGTTTGGCTTGGCATCCCAAAGGCACACCCATCGCAACCCAAACCCACGAGAGGGCGCAAGCAGCCGAGTACGTTGACAGGCGTGGTGGAAAACTCAGAGTTCACAGCACACCAAAATGGGCCTCTCCCCCACGCTTCTTAAGCTTCCCAGGTTTTGGGGCGAGCAAGCCGAAGCAATCCTTTTGAGCGCGTCCACAGATACAAAGTTGCCTTCTGCACGCGAGTTCATGCGCCACATGTGCCATTGTCAAAGCAAGGGGCCATGGTCAAATCCCGGATGAGTCTCCCTAGCGCAGCTGGGTCTCTAAAGGTCTTGCACACGTTCGGACACCCAAACTTCCTAGTACATATGGCCATTGAGTAAATTCCATTCCAAAATAGTCCAACCCTCAGATATGCACCTTCACCTCTTGTTTGAACAACCTACATTTGGTTTCCCAGTTAAAGTGGACCAGTTGGTCAAACGAGTTTTGCTCAACCCAGCTGGGTCCATTGACCTGACATCCTCAAAGCTACCGACACCTAGGGCCCAGTGGTACCAAGCCTCAAGCGCTTTGACTGCACGATGCATCGAGCAGCCGCCCCGTTTTTTTCTTCAGCGCAGCTCACAGGAAGTCCTTGGGCGGAGCCTTCGCAAATCCGCCGCGAGTGGCATCCAGCAAGTTTGAGTGTTCACTGGGCTAGTGTGTATACTATAATATATATTTATTGTATCTCTATATATAAATATACATATACCTGGACCACCCAATCGGCAGAAGTTTCTGCCTTTTTGGAAAAAAAACCCTTTGTGCCGTTGGCGGCGTTTTTGGCTTTCCTGGCAGCGATTTGTTTTTTTTTTCAAAATCAAGTTCTGTGCAAAAACCGGCAGCAGGAAATCTGCGGAATTCGGCAGAATTTCGCGGAAGCAGGTTTCAGCATGTCGGAGTGTTTGTTGCGTTTCGGCGCTTTTTCTCGCGGGGGGTTTCTTTGCTTTTCGGCGGAAATTTCTGCCGCCGGGGCCTTTCGGCAGAAAGTTCTGCCGCCGGAGGGTCCAGGTATGTATCTTAGTTAAAACATGCTTATATATTGGACTCCCAAGCAGGCATACTCGTTTGAAGCCTAGGTAGACAAATCTGGGATAAATTGAAAGGGGGGCACATGGCATGTCGTCAAGGCTTGGATCTCCATTTAGATCGGGAAATTGAGATCCCACCCTTGTCAAACGCAAACCATTCAAATTGTGTCAATCATGATGCCTTAGAAACATCGTGGGCATCATAATGAAAGACAAACAAACGGGCCGTTGCAATGCAACTGGTTGTCAAAGAAGAAGAAAGAGCGTTCCTTTCGGCCACCCATTCTTGCTTGAATATGCAGGGACCCATGAATACACATGCGTTCAAGCTTGAAAGACAACTGGTGCTGAACCAAACACGGCTTTCAACAGAACGTCCCGAGCAAACCCTGACTTCCTCAATTTAGTTTGGCGGCAAGTTACCTTCAACCAGAACAAGCGTCATAGGCAAACCCTGGAAGGAGAGCCACACAACACCCGCCTTGGCCTTGTTCCTCTCTGCTGGAAAGATCAGCAGCGCGGCAGGGATCTGGCTGCTGTGCATATCACGTTCCCGGTTGCGGGGTAAATGAGGAGCGCTGGAAAAAACAGAACATTGAGTTGTTTAGCACCTAACTTTCAATTGGGCATCGCTCCCGCGGCTGGTCTACTCGTACTTCTTTCCAACACGAGCAAAAATGAAGGAATCTTGAGGAGATGCCCCGTGAACACGTGTTGTAGAAACATCATAGAGCTGATCTTGAAAGACACTGGATGGACCCTCATGACGGAATCGATAACCATGCATCACAGTGTTGACTCATAGCTGGCAACATCCAGTCACCGTGGCTCCAACTCTGAGTACATGCCAGGTCTATCTTGTGACTCTGGGCTTTGCTCCAGGTTTTGTGCTTTGAGCATTTCCGAGCAGTCTTGAGAGACTTCCATTTGGTTAAAACCCCTGGAACAAATAACGCACATGTCCAGTAGTGATAAATTCCTTTTAAAACCAACAAGGGAAACTACAACATATTCTGAATATTCTTAATACAAATGGAAGGAGAGGAACTTCGCATTTGTTTTTCTCCAAGTCCCGGCCTCGCGCATCTGCATCCACCGCAGGAAGAGATTGCCTCGAATGTGGTCCTGGAAGCGACTTGGGGTGTCCACTCTGTCAGCTTCAAAGCAGCCGGGCTGTGCACAAGGAAGTCAAGCCTCAAAATTGGGATCTTGTTGGATAGGTTTGCTTGTGTTTCCATATCAACACAAGCGAAAAGGGTGTCGCTTCTTCAGCGAACACGCTGATTGCCAAGTGCTCTTGCCCGTTCTCTAAGAACTCATACGCTGAGTTGTTTAGAGGCCCGAGTCAGGATGACTATCTTGGTGTTTGATGCAAGCTTCCGCGCCAGTGAAACGGTGGATCCCCGAAGAGTGTCATGAAACTGGATATCAACAAGCAGGATTTAAGCGACGGGTACTCCCGAGAGCTTCAAAATATTGATGGAATGAAGCACACTCATATGGAGAATCAAATAGTGGGTGCTTCACAGTCAGAATAACATCAAACAGGTACCTAATCCTAGCCCAGGAATACGACCCTCGAAACAAACACTGGGCCAATATCGAGTCAAACAACAAATCTAGGTCCTCCAGTAGAGAGCTTAGAATAAGGGTACCCTTTTTTCATTTTCTGTAGTCCATTTTAGTAGGGGAACCCTCTGAACCAAAAAGTTGGGTGAGAAAGGGCACCTAGCTGGGGACACCTTGACATCATAGGGAAGCCCGAAAAATAACGCAATGGAGCCGGGCACTTGCGGAGGTTCCAGGGTGGTGTGGTGCCAGGTGTAAGGAAGGTGCCGGTGGTCTGGCGCAGGAAGGTGTAAGGCTCAAGGAAGTGTAGGCCCAGTGTCGTGGTCTGGCGCAGGCCAGGTGTAAGGTTCGAGCAAGGTTCCCGGAAGTTCCGAGGTGGTCTGGTGCAGGTCAGGTGGACGTTTCAAGGAAGGTGGGTAAGGTTCCGCAGAGTTCCGCGAGGTTTTCGTTGCGCGAGGGCGCAGGGTTCTGCGAGGGCTCGTGGTCCGGGGCGGCTCTGAGGTAAGGGTCCACAGAGCACAGGGTCCCGCGAGATTTCTGCGAGGGCCCGCAGAAGGGTTCTGCAAGGGTTCCGTGACAGTTCCGCGAGGGCTTCTTGGTGTAAAGTTTCCAAAAAAGAGTGCTGTGTGCTGTTCGGAATATCGCCTGAGCTTTTTTTTTGGTGTGTGTGTGTGTGTGATGGGCACGTGTTTGTTTGTTTGCTTGCTTGTTTGTTTGTTTGGCTGGTTGGTTGGTTGGTTGGTTGATGGATAGTATTTGTGCATTGCTTGGTTTTGCTTTGTGGCGTCGTTTTGCCGTGTTGTCTTGCGTGTGTTTCTCTCCGTGTTTATGTGTTTGCTGGTGTCGTGGTTTCTCTCGAAGTCAGAGTTGCTATTCCTGGTTTTGGCATTTGCGGCATTTGCCTCTTTTTCTGGTTGGTCTTCAATGCAACAAACAACATGTTAAGCCATTTCTGCAGCTGCCGGTTTTGGGTGTGGATCAAATGAAATCATTGGCCATCCTTGGCCGAGCCCATTTCTTGTTGACAAGTTGAGATTGCAGGATTGAATCTGAGATGGAGCAAGGGAATTTGCTCTCTGCCCTGACAGCGAGGGGTGTTTCCTGCAGACAAGAAGCTTGGAGGGGTCGGCCTACCAGTTTCACAAGGGATTCCTGCTCTGTAGACTCACATAATGCCAGTTCCTGCCATGTTCGAGGAGTGCTGCAACCTTTCGGTATGCGTTGCAGCAAACTTCGGCAACCATTTAGGATGAGGTTGGAGCTGTTGTAGAGTGGAAAACCCCTTGATTTCAACCAAAAAGTTAAAGTCTAAAGATCCAGTAGCAGTCAAGCAATCCCCGCGTGCCTTCCGCGCGCGTTAGTACTCCGCCCCCCCGCCTGCACCATCTTCGCCGCTGCCTCGGAGCGCCGCGCCGCCTCGCAGCAGGCCGGCGGCTGCGCCGGGCACCCACCGTTGTCCTCCGAAGCGAAGAGCGTTCGCGCGCGACAAAACGAGCCGCACGGGGGTCGTAGGTCGTAGGTGCAGTGAAAGGTTGGAGCCCTGGGGGATCTGATGGGAAAAAGCACGAAGAAAACCCGATGTTTTAGGTGGCTCGACTGATTTTGAGGCGAAGGGGTACCCCCCCTGTTGGTTGGTTTTAAAGGGAAACCAAAAGGACGCCCACCACTCTTGGGGGAGGGGCGATGATCCCGGATACCCCAGTTACCATGGGTATAACGGTATAACTTATCAAAGTTGGTTCAGCATCCAAGTCATATTGGCCCACAGAAAGGGGGTACACAAAAATAAACATCATGTGCTTAAGCTCGGATTCCTGGCCCACATCTGGGGTACAAACGTGCTCAAATCCTGTTTCAAATTAGCCTAAAACAATCCGTGCTGTGGCTCGAATAGCTCCACTTTCCGCGTAAAAGGAATAAGAGCTGTCAGAGCGCATTCAAAACATGAAATTACTCCTTCAGGAGGACACCTCTACCAAACCTTAGGCAATGAACAGCCCACATGCGAGTCAGCATGGCGTACAAGCTGGATATCTGGAAGCGGTGGCAGCCAAAGTTTGGCACACAATTGAACGCATTCGACCCTGAATCAACCAGATTCCTTGCAAATGTCGGGATATCAACAAGGGTCCTGGATTTTGCACCTGTAGCTCCATGTTCTTGCTCGTAGAATGCCATGGAAAAAGCTCGGACCAGCAATCAAGACCACATATGGTCCTAACAAGAAAGCGCCTGCTGCCAGCCACATTTTCCCTTGCCAAAAAATGCCTGGACTCGCAGCATAGCGTTCTGCGCTTGATGTGAGCTGCTCAGCAGCTACAAGGCATCACTCGGATCGGTTTGACACCAGAACAAGTTCTGCCTCGCTACCCGAGGCAGCTGTCTCAAGACACAGCCGGATCGGTTTGACACCCGAGACACGAAGGCACGGTGAACACATGCCTGCGTTAGGTGTGCAGCAGAAGCCAGCGCACATGCCGTTGCCAACTAATTACAATAAGCATTCTCTGGCAAGCGAATTCCGTGAGGCTGCCAAATAAAAGCGATTGAGGCAGGGTGCTGCTGTACAAGCACCCGTCCAAGAACGTGTGTGTGACGCGATTAAGCTGAGAGAATCTTCGTCGCCTCGCGGCTGCACGCAAAGTCCAGCGCCTGCATCAGGTCTGCTTGGCTCACATTTTCTGGGAGCGCCCGATGGGAGTAAATTGGGAACTTCTTTTGGGCCATCTGAACAAACTTCTTGGCCACTTGACCCTGTCCAAACCTATCTATGTAAACGTCATCCTCATACACGGGCTCCTCAGAAGTTTCATAATGGTCCACAACCTTTTGCATGTCGAAGTCAAGTCCATATGCCATCAAAGCCACAGACGCCATACCTCCCAGTCGCGTGCTTTGGAGGCGAAAGTGATACATGTGACCCACAGAGTTCCGACCATCGACCTGAAAGTTTCTCTGCTGAGTTGATACCTCCTCATCCCACTTCAGGGAGCTGACAATGGACTCAACAACTTCTTGCGGCAGCCCTTGAGACCTGGAGGAATCGCTGGGCGGACTCAGCTTGGCTCGAGCACTGGCCTTGCACCTGAACTTCCACGCACCTGACCGCACATTGAACCTCTCGTTGTCGAGCTTTGAAATGACTGCGTCATGATCCTTCTCTGCGCCCTGCTCAGTAACTTGCGTCAGGATCTTGATCAACGCATTTGCCGGCTTCTCCAACTTCTCTTCAGGCCGCATGCATGTGTCCATCTTTGCCTGCTGCTCAACATTAAGCTGCGGTTGGGGCTGCATGCCCTGCCAGGACCAGGCAGCACAGGCACATGCGAAAAGAGCAAGCACACTGAGAACACATTTCGTTGAAGGGGGCGGCCAAGAGATCTGCGTCGGCTCTGCGCGTTGGCAGTCTGCATCCCGTGTCTGCAACCCCTTCAGCTGCTCCCGCTCCCTTTTGCCCGGGCGTCGCTTCTTGGCACCTTCTTGTGTATCAGACCTGGGCTGTTTGAACTAGCGGCCTACAAAATAGTGATGGTTTCGCTTTGGCTAGTCCATTGTCATGAGCTGTCATGAATTGTCATGAACACAGCTATGCGCGATAAAAGGCTTGTATCTGTCAGACACAAAAGATCACAAAAGGCAACCAAGAGACGTCCCAAGCATTGGCTCAGGCTCCAAACCGATCTCCGACACAGGCTCTTTCGAGTCGGCTTGAGCGCTCGAAGTACGTGGTGGGCTCGCAGACCGAGAGCGACGGCGAAGCCATTCGGAGTCGCTCTTCGGCCGGTCTTCCTCCTGCGGCGGATCTGAGATGTCGATGAAGGTGTTCTTCACAGCGTCGGAATGTACGACTGACCAAGGCTCCATGCCGTCTGTGTAGCGACTCGAATGGCTTCCAGGGCTTGAGCAGGCTCAGTATTGACTGCGATTCGTAAATCATTGTGCCGTACATGTGGATGTTATCCACATCATCTAATTGGCCCAAGACCACACATCTGAAGGCCGACTCTTCGATAGGAGTATAAGCCAAACAAATCCAACAAATCAATATGCCAACAAATCCCCAAAGGTGTCCATCACCAACAAAAAAGGCCCGAACCCTAGAGCGACAATCAAAACAAGGCTCTACTTCCGTACGCCAAGGTCCCAGTGACCCCGCCAACGTCTGGGTTGTTTTATTATTTGGGTCCGTAAATTTGAGCACCCCTCAAACTGAAACCGCTGCAAGTGGCCCAGTTTCAACATGGCTATTTTGTGCCTTTCGCAACAATCTCATGGATTCCCTTTCCGGGGTTCCCCGAAAACACCGCGCTCCGCCGCCCATTGGCCGTCTCCGCGCCTTGTCCAGGCCCTCCCGCCGCCGGACCTCCATCTCCGCGCCGACCGCGGGGCAGCTGACCCGCGCCAGCTGGGCCTGGGACGAGCGCTGGACGCTTCGGCCGGCCTTTCGGGGCCAGGTGATCACCTGTTTGGAGTTTTTTTTGCAGTAGAGAGGTTAGAATACGGGTACCAACTTCTTTCTGTTGTCTATTTTAGTACGGGAACCCTCCCCCAAAAAAGGACAAAAGGGCACTGCTGGAAGACCTAGATGGAATAGGGCAAGGTTTGAAGAGACAGGCATCCTTTTGGGCAAACGATTTTCTCTTGAGTTGAGATGCAAAGGTGAAAGTGCAAATGCTGGGCCGAAGGGGACACCTGGCCGGAAAGGAGACCTGAGAACTTGACCAAGAAATAGTCCACAGGCCCACAAAAAACTCCAAGGTGGGGTTGGATCAAGGCTGTTTAGTCACAGGTCGCTGTGGCACGTGAGAGTCACGAGTCAGCAGCGAACCTTTCACGCATTTCAAGTCAACGGGGGGATGGCGGACGGGGCAACTCTTCGGCCCGTTCTCCAACACTTGACTCGTGTGAACAAACAACAACACGGTTGCAGGGGCTTTTGAAGGTTCTGCCACGGACACGATCAGATCTGAGCTCTCCACTGGCCGCAGTTTGGGGCAGTCGCCGCTTGGCAGGGCCGAACCTCAAGGCATTGAGGCGCACGGGTCCGGCCCTCGTTTGGTTAGCGCATGCAGCACAGCTCACTGCTAGACGTTTGGAGCGCACAAGGCAAAGCGATGCAGCATGAGAACAGCATACGTTGGTTTGGCGGCAAGTCTGCTACTTTTCAAGCATCATGCCATCATACCAACTGCCAATGGAGCCGTCCATTAACACAAATTGAATTCAACGAGGGAGCGCCATCGTTCTAGCATTTGACTCAGCAGGTATCAGCGCCGTTTATTACATATCTGTTTCATGAGCAAGTCGCGGCAGTGTGACAAAAAAGGATATTGAATGACAAGCCAGTGCTCATAGCATCACCTCCAACAACCAAACATATTGTCACAGCGGGGCAGCTTCACAATAGTGTCCAGAGAGTCAAGTCGGATAACTCCCGCCAACAAAAGAGACACAAGCAAAGGGCGCTTCAGATGTTCATGAGATCCACCCCCCCTCCCCTTGCAAACCTCCTCCCCGCTATGTTGATCTAAATAAGACCTCCATACGGCCAAAGGGGGGAGCAGGGCCCTTTTTGGGTGGTTTGAATGGGCGACCAACAGGAAACCGCTTACCCTAAAGTTCCACCCCGATCAAGAGAATGGCCTTGGGACCCAATTTGGATGATGAAATCCGTCAGGTCGATAATGGTGGTTATGTGAACCCAACCACTCTTTTTTATGGGGGACCATTCCTTGGGTTATATAAAACTGCATGGTTCTAATGGTGGATTGAACCTCAGGCGGACAGCTCGCAGCGCGCCCGCGCCTGGCTCCTCCTCCTCCTTGCTGCCCAGGCCGAACAAGGAGAAGAAGCTGGTGCGAGGGGCCCCTGCGCCGTGCTTCGGGTGACATGTCGCATGAGGGATCAACCCATCTTCCTGAAAACAAAGTCTACATTCACAAAAGAAGAGTGGCGAGAACAAGGCACCAAGGTCTATATCAACAAACAACAGGTGGCGAGAACAAGGCATGAACCAACGCTTCGGCTTGTCTCGCGTGTAGTGGACGGACGCAATGACCAAACAAACCGCTTTTGGCAAATGGTGCCCGGACACCTGGTGTTTAAGCAACCCACAAAACACCATCGTTCAACAAGTATGGGTGCGGCTCGTCTTTCTTCAGGATTCGCGTCCCCAAAATGGCCTAAAGCTCTTGGTATAGCTGTAAGAAGCACAGAAAAGGAGGACCCACACAAAACCTGTTCAACTGAGTGCACGGATGCAAGTTGACGAGTCAAAACAAGGAAAGCTCGTGTAATCCACACATGTGGTTCTGAGAGTTCTCAGAAACCTGAGAACCCCTAAAACCTCCGTTGCCACTTAGGGACCTGATAAAAGATTGACATTATCTAACCAAAAGACGAAACATGGACCAAATCCGGTCGATTCGGATTCGCTTTGGGCAAGGGAGAAAAGGGTCTGATCGAACCTTTCCTGGGTTCTCGCCGGGGGGGGTGGAGGGCTTTAGGGCGCACAAGTTCCGGGTATGGCGCCTGTGCCAAAGGCCAGCGTCAATGCCTCCGCATGGCGCCTCAGGCAACAAAAAAAACGCCTCTTCGGTTGTCATCAAGCCAATGCTGAAATTTGCCGTCCGAAACGAATCCTTTTGTGATCCCTGTCGACAATACCAGCGCTTGCAAGGCTGTGACTGTGATAATTCCGCGGCTACTCTGGGCGCCAGGCCCCATCAGCCTCACGGGGGGTACCCAAGCAGG